TAGGCTACCCCACCGCCCTGTCAGGAAGGGAAACAAAAAGTACCATTCGTTTGGAATGAACAAACCATCCCCTCTCAAGACGATCTATCGACATGGCCTCAAAGCGTGATCAAACGAGTGAGTGGGTGAGTAAATATAGGTTTATGCTGATTTCAGCAATATATCGGTGGAGTACATAGCTGCGTGAGTGAGTGAGTGAGTTTAGTTTCACGCCGCTTTTGCACCCACATAGGAACACGGACCCGGATCTTCGGCATGACTAGTGAAAGCTTTCACCACTCGGCTGCCATAAATTTAGTGCCCCATCTTGGAAAGAAATCACTGACAGTGCTGTTGAATAACTGACTGACTGACTGACTGAGTTCGGTTTTACGCCGCTTTTAGCAATATTCCAGCTACATCACGGCGGGGGAACACCAGAAATGGGCTTCACACATTGTACCCATGTGGGGATTCGAACCACTAGGCTACCCCACCGCCCCGTTGAATAACTATTGACATAGCCACACTTCATGACATAATCGATTTACACTTTCACATCAACTGGAATTTATCGACAAAGTAAAATGCTACAGTCTGAAGAACTAAAGAATATAAAGAATACATAATATCGTACATGTTATTTTATTCATAATGGCATATATACAACGATCACAGTATCTTCTATATGTGACATACATTTCAATTAATAACAACAGAATACAATCACAGGTCAAAATAAACTACATGCAATTATTAGTTCTTTGAAAACACATATCCCAGGAGAAGTATACGATACATATCGGGGACGCCATCAAACCAGTATTAAAACACGAGGTCAGCTTTTCTTCAGCTGTTGGTCTTGCACAGTTTATAACGAACTCAACAAGCAGTAGTTCAAGTTTGAACACTATTAAATCTAAACTTTGTAAACAAATTGGTTTGACATTAACGAAAGCCAATAGTGTTCCACAACATATCAACATCACACAAAACACAGAACTGGTGTATAGCACAGCTAGGATATACATGTTTACCTCTTGTCCAAATTAAATAACATTCAATGTAAAGGAAAACCAAGTTCTATGGATAGTCAACTTCTTTATTGCGATGGGTGCGACGTTTCGGTGTAGGTACTTCTTTCATCGCAATAAAGACTGTCCATAGAACTTGGTTTTCCTTCATCTATACAACTTCTAAAATGCCCCTCAAAGAAACATTCAATGTATATAAAATAGTAGGCCAATTTATTAATATTTACAATAAGATTGTCATTATGTACAATTTGTCTCATTCAGATCCAACGTATTGAAAGTAAGGTGATAGTGCTTGAAATCGTGTTACAAGTTTCCTAAATATACTTAGTTCCTGGTGTGATTCGGTTGTCATTTAGAAGATTTTACCTGTAAACCTTGACGGGACCTGTTGTGTCATGACATTACTGCTCTCTATATGGAGAATTAGTGTTCTAATGTAGCTAAATCCGTGTATGCCAAGGCGACCGGCACGCATAGTGCACAGGCGTTTGATGTTCATGAGTGTTTCGTGCCGATATACATGTTTTGTCTCTTTGATGGCGTGTCACGTGCTGGCAGCCCGCACGAGTTGCACGTGCTATCACGAGGAAGCGTCATTAAATGATTTTGAATTCATTACAATAGCACGTTACATTTTTCTGCTGAATCGGACGATTTTTAAAAGTATTATTTTTAGAACTATTACAGATATGTTTTGCGTGTGGTTAATTCGTCTTTTCAAACAAATTCTTGGTGTAGTGGTGATACTGTTCTTGATCCAGATTTGTCAGAAATTTGTTACAGGAACCCTTGCTATTTGTGAGACAGTATGTAACAAATAAGATAGCCAATAATTGTACACTGAATCAGGTTTCCGGACTTTCATTGAAAAATAACCATCACGGGAACTTTGTCATTTTCGGTCCCGACAGTTTTGCCTATTGAATACTGTACACAGTTCTTCCCAATTGTCTCATTATGCCAAGCTGTTCTGCAGGTCGTCCACGACGCCTCAGCTGATGGCAATGATGGCGATGACGCACCCGGTGAACGCTGTGATAACCAGGACATGGATCCTCAATATAACGCGTCGGGTGAACCCTCCCTGAAACACCAAGAGAATTCATATGATTAGAACTGGTCTTCAGCAACCCAGCCTTGTCTTTAGAGGCGACTAATGTGATCGGGCTATCAGGTACGCTGATTTAATTGATGCATATCCATGATATCCTGCATAGGGTTGATGTTCACGATGTCAATCACAGGATTGTCTGGACCAGACACGATTATTTGCAGTCAGCAAAAATGTAGATGGAAGATGGCTGGGTGAGGGGAGGTGAAATTGGGTTTTACGTCGTGCTTGAGAATATTTCGCTCATATGACGACGTGCATGCGTGTGTATGTGTATGTGCTGCTGCTTGTACTAGCACAGACTTAAGCTGGTTTTATAGTGCCAGCCCACTGAGATACCATGCCGCAGTGAAGCATGACTACCCCACTCAGACACAGTATACGGACTCCGAGCCGACCAGTCCTTGTTGCACCCATTACTGCCGAACGCCAGGCAGGGACCAACAAGTACCATATTTTAACGTCTTTTGGTATGACGCGGTCGGGGATCGAACCCGCGACCTTCCGCTCTCCGGGCGGACGCTCTAACCACTACACCACGGAGGCGGTCTGGAAGATGACTGGGAGAGACGTTAGACAACAGCAAATATATAACATGTGGATTATATAATCATATAGAGCTTTCAATCAACCAAGATTAACGATACTTCCACACACACTAACGTCTCAATAACTTTCGATCCCATCAAGCAGTACCAAACGAAATGACAACTTTTAGTCCCCACAACAGGAACCTGGGATGCCACAACCAACCTAGCTTCGGACGACACTCTGTCACCATCCTAACACCATCCATGTTAGCTTAAAGCATACGGAAGAGGCGACTAACGGGATTGTATCGTATCCCAATTGGGTAGATCGATGTGCATGACATTCACTGGATGAAAAGGCCCAATCTATTTGCACTGAATGCTCAGACAGCGTCTCAGTACCGCCATGAAGTCATATCAGCGCCTTGCTAGAACCCTGTCAACACTCCGTCAATTGCCTGTATCAAGGTATTGAACAAATACACAGCTTCACGCCTTTTCGACGCCCTGTCGAACTGTGGCCAACAGTGCACCGACATGTAAGCACGCTCTGTCAGCCCTATGTAACTACTGGCGTTGAAGCAACAACGCAAACATCGCACACCAGTCTGTGTCACTGATGTTTGATTGTGTTACCGTTGTATTATTGTTATCGCTTTCCTTTTCTTTACCAACAAAGGTAAACCCCTTCTGAACCCATTCTGAACTTACCGGTGGCTCTGTGTCATCAGTGTCTACATCTTTTGTACTGGAATACCGGGTGGACCTATCTGCGTAGATGGAGTAGCTCTGTTGCTTGCGTTCTGGAAAGAGATGGGCAGGAACATTGTACACGATGAAGTCAGAAATATTAAGGCGAGGCGGTTTTATCGATATATTTGCTAGGCAAGTTACAGTTAATGTGGTCTTTCTCCCCTTGCGGGTTATGAGTTGTCTACCCTTTGTCTGGGTCGAAAGGAAGTCGATTATTCACATCTGATCTTGTGTTTACAGAAGGCGAGGTCATGAACCTTTGACCCAAAACAGAAGTTACCTTTGACCCGAGGGCTGCGAAAGACAGACCACTCACTCACCTTTGATTCTGGAGTTACAGGAGACCACCTCCAGGATGAGGACAATGAACACTTGGTACACGGCGAAACAGTAGAGGATGTAGGAGACGTACTCGTGCACGCCGGCCTTCTTCAAACCCACACCAAGGATGATGTTCATTACTACAAGGACATGAAGCATAGGTCAGATTCAGTTTATTAAAGCTATATTATTGCCATGTAATATAAAACTATTAAAACACTAATAAACACCAAAAAATTGTTCTTCCGTGTGATAGAATGAAAACGATTATTTTATTGTTGGCGTGAGATGGGTTCATAGTGGGTAACCACCATAGTGTAATGTCCAGTAGGACGCACGACATGACCAAACCTCCTCAACCCATGAATGACGGAAGTGTACCACGTCGACTCAACCGACGACCAAGCAAAAGGATATCTCTAACAATGAATACACTGATGAACGTATATCATATCTATCGTTCTGTGACGCACCTGCCAGGATGTGGTCGATGATGCCGACACACCAGTGAGCCCAGTTGAACACTGGTCTGTTGGTGGAGGTGGACTTGGGGCGGAACAATCCCATCGCAGCCTGGAACATATACAGAGGCATACACGAACCTGACAACATTGATGTTTCAAGATCAATGAAATCCCGCTGTACCTGAGTTTTATTTTCTTTGTGGGTTTTCCTTTTATACTGTCAGTTACATTACAGAAAAACAACATAAAATAACTACACATTTGTCAATACTTGTAATTTGTCAAGATTATTAAAACTGATATGATTTTTATTGATTGCTTACTTTTAGGCAAACATCTAATGGACAACTAGGTCACTGAAGACTGGGCATTCCTTTACTTGCTTGTAGCTCCTTAAATGACGTTGAAATCCATACATTGGCACAACAGTTTCTACCAGCTACCAAGGAAGACAAGTTTAGTAAATGTATTTTAGTTCAGAAAGCAAATGACTGTTGGTTTGAAATGAATAATTTTCAATTTGAAACACACACCTGTATTATTGTAAGACCGGTGACGATCATGCCGAGTATTGGGTGAATTTTTCTGAAGTCCAGGAAACTGATCTGAAAACGGAAATCTGAACCCTGTATAATTCACGAATGAGTGAGTTTAGTTTTACGCCGCACTCAGCAATATTCCAGCTATATGGCTGGTATAATTCACTAAACGATATGATGAAACTGTATACATTCGAAAATAAGGTAATCTGTGATTTTTAAGATTGTTTCATCTCAACTAATAAATACAATGTATGTAGTAAGTTTTAAGTGTCACTTACATCACTGAGACCTTTGACCTCCAGGAAGATGACGACAAAAGCCCCCACAACCAACAACGCCAGCAACATCGTGCACATCCGGTGTATCTGTGGAGGAGAGCATACAGAGCAAGTGAGTTGGGTTTAACACCCCTTCAACATATTTTAGTTACATGGCTTTATGAGGGGTGAAGGTAACGAAGGTCAAGGTAACGAAGGTCAAGGTAACGAAGGTCAAGGCAACGAAGGCTATAGACGTTAACAACTTTGGTTAAACAACAAGCAACACACGGCTATCATCAAATCTCATCCTTGTATGAATTAAATTAAATAAGTATTGAACATTTAGCTGAACACAGAAAACTGTTTCAAAGATAGCCCATGCGTTTCATTTTTGAAGAGTTACTAGACCTTTAAGTGCTCATTGATTATGATTAGTCAGAGTTACTCACCGTGAACCACAGCTTGCGGCCGCATACCCGGGACTGGGGCCACATCGGTTTGTAGAAGCGGGCCACGACAATAGCAATGCTGGCCAGGAACATCCACGCGAAGGTCATCGCACAGGCTGGAAAAACACATTGTCAGAGATATTTACTAGGCTAGAAAACACACTGTTTTCATCGAACTGGCTACTAACGTTGTCATGGTCACCGAACTGGCGACAGACACATTGTCAGGGTCACCGAATTGGCTACAAACATGTTGCAAGGGTTACCGAATTGGCTACAAACATGTTGCCAGGGTCACCGAACTGGCTACAAACATGATGCCAGAGTCACCGAATTGGCTACAAACATGTTGCCAGGGTTACCGAATTGGCTACAAACATGTTGTCAGGGTCACCGAATTGGCTACAAACATGTTGCCAGGGTCACCGAATTGGCTACAAACATGTTGCCAGGGTCACCGAATTGGCTACAAACATGTTGCCAGGGTCACCGAATTGGCTACAAACATGTTGCCAAGGTTATCGAATTGGCTACAAACATGTTGCAAGGGTAACCGAATTGGCTTCAAACATGTTGCCAGGGTCACCGAATTGGCTACAAACATGTTGCCAGGGTCACCGAATTGGCTACAAACATGTTGCCAAGGTTATCGAATTGGCTACAAACATGTTTTCAGTCATCGAATATAGGCTACGAAACACATAGTGTCATCGCACAGGCTAGGAAACACATTGTCAAGATTATTGCACAGATTAGAAAATATGTCGTGGCTAGGAAACATAAATAGCCAACGCACTGGCTACGAAACACACAGACAGGGTCATCGTACAGGCTGGAGACCTCTTGTATACACACGGTCATCACACAGAATACCTGCATCACCAGAATCATCAGACACCGTATAGATAAACAGTTTAAAATCCACCAGTAATGACATCAAGAGTGAGTGAGTTTGATTTTACGCCGCTTTTAGCAATATTCCAGCAATATCATGGCGGGGGACACCAGAAATGGGCTTCACACATTGTACCCATGTGGGGAATCGAACCCGGGTCTTCGGCGTGACGAGCCAAAGCTTTAACCATCAGGCTACCCCACCGCCCCAATGACATCAAATGAGCTCATTAGAATGTTGTTATTGATATTACATTTGGTATGAAGGTATGGGCTTTATTTTATTTGTTCAAACGATTTTCATGTCAAACATGGTGTCCCCCCGCCGTGATATTGCTGGAATATTGCTAAAAGCGGCGTTAAGCCATACTCACTCACTCATGTCAAACAGGTATGGAATTAGTTAAACGTTTTTACAAAGCCTCGACATCACCGTCAGTTCAACATAAGTTGTTCCCTATCACAGTATATTGGTCAACTTTTCCTTCTACGACATCCATTCAACAACCGTTAACTGACATGTATCTCTCTACAAGCAAGATGGCGTTTTATCCTACACAGTTGATTTTGTGATACCCTTACCATGAACCTTGATGAAGATTCTGTCTCCGAAAGCCACTTGCATCTGCTGGGTAGCCTTCAGGTCGACCCTGTACCTCGACACCCACGGCAGGTTGGTGTGACGCTCCATGCGGCCTAGAGAGAGTGTGTATTGTATATATGTACTCGAAGAAAGACGAGAACGCAGAAGTAAAAGTACAATCCACAGGCTTTACATTTGTTTGTCTGTTGTTTAAAGTCGTACTCTGAAGTATTCCAGCTAAGTGGCGATGGTTTCTGAAACATCGAGTCTGGATCAGAAAATCTAGTGATTGACACCATGATCTACGTTATCGGGTTACCATCAATCACATTATTTTGGTTGTTCGTTTATGTTTAACAAGTAATCGAGTCTGGACCAGACAATCCAATGACCAACGTCATGAGCATCGATCTACGCAATTGGGATACGATGACATGTGTCAACCAAGTCAGCGAGCCTGACCACCCGATCCGTTAGTCGCCTCTTACGACAAGCATGGGTTACTGAAGACCAATTCTAACCCTGATCTTATCGGATCATATGTTTTAAAGATCTCTACTGGCGTCATAACGATCATCCTACACCCATGATAATACACAGTAGATAGGTTCTATGTCCGTGGATGTGAAGAAATAGATTACATATTTGATATGCGTATATTTGTTTACATGGCATAAAACCTAAACCCTAGAGAGCAGCTAGTCCAGATTATCCCTGAAACAGATCCCGCTGGGTGTAAATGGCAAAACAGTGATGGAAAATACATGAATGGATCACTGAAACCAGGTGTTCGCGAAAGGGTAAGCATGTCCTGCCAACCTTGAATTGAATTGAATTTTCACAAGTAACTGTTTGTTGTCTCACAACAGCACTCCTCCTACGCGACGATAGTGAGTAAGCAAACCAGACAATCAGGTGATTGACCGGATAATCCAGTGACACGACATCGCAATAACTGATTCTGATGAACCTAAAGAAATCAAAATGATGAAAGAAATATTGGGTATAAAACCTCACTCACCAGAAACAATGGGGCCTTGGGCGACCAACATGAACCAGGACTTGTCCAAGTTGTAAATCTTGTCGTTTCCGGGCACCATCTTGGCCCGTACGAACTCGCATGTGAGTACACCGTCTGCCATGGTGTCGGAGATGGGGAAGATGACGGGGTTCATCTAAACAGATAGTACAGGTTACCAGAGTGCACATGGTTATTTGAACAGAAGAACATAGGAAGACCGTTTTAGTGATCTCCAATACCGTGTACCATTACTACATTGTGATAAATGACCTAAACGCATTCGCTTGCTTACATCAAAGACGTTTATGTTCACTGCTTACAATTATCATACGACACGGGTCCCTACAGGATATGTTGCCTTGGTGGGATCAGTAATGAAATTGGATCATAATTCATTGCGGACCTGGGTTAATATGAGCAACACTAATCTCTCTGACACTGAAGTTGGTAAGTTGGACCTTTCACACCTAATGCTGTATTTAAAAATGTAGGAAGTGACTTTTGATGATATGAAGCCGTTGAGTTTGCTTTTATTAAATCATTAGGTCAGATTGCCTCTAAAGCTCCGCTGTGAGGCTGATTTGAATGACATAACATATCAGAGTGAGTGAGTGAATATTGTTTTACGCCGCTTTTAGCAATATACCAGCAATATCACGGAAGGGGACACCAGAAATGGGCTTCACACATTAAACCCATGTGGGGAATTGAACAGGGTCTTCAGCGTGACGAGCCGAGGCTTTCAACAACTAGGCTACCCCACTACCAATATAACCCATCACAGCGCACATGGTTATTTGAACATAAGAACATAGGGAGACCGTTTTAGTCATCTCCAATAAAGTGCATCATTTCCACATTGTGATAAATGACCTGAACTCAGTCGCTACATAGAGCATGAGCATCGCCTATCGCTCTGACACTGAACCTGGTTGACTGTACCCTTAACATCTGAGACACTTCTAATACTATATCTCAAACTAATGGAAGGGTGATTTTGTATTATAGAGAGAATATTATCCTCGTGTCCCTAGTGTCGAACACGAACTGATAAAAGTTTAAAACTCAGAGGCAAACTTTTATTGATTCGTGCCGATATGTTTTCTATGAAGCTGAGGAGATAGAAACAACTTTTGATTCGTATTATATAGTTTAACGGAGAAAACTCCGGGTCAGATTTTTGGTACAGCCACTTTGAATGGTATAACGCTTTCGAGCATATATACTGAAGGAAACAAATAAAGGAACACGTGAAAATTCAAGTTCCATTAAAGATGTGCCGAGAATAAATATAGGAACGCTGCCTGAAGTGGTGTTCCCTTAATTGTTTACTTATAGTTTTTACCCATGAGCACCACTGCCTCATTTTTCATGGCAAGAGCACCCTGTTGCTTTGACGCATTGTCGCCCCATGAAGAATGCGACAATGTGACAATGTCCCTTCTGGGATTCCATACTAACTTCATGCCCTCAGTTCTCACCGGGTTCATTCTCCTGTTGGACCTTTGGTAGTTGTAGGAGATGCTCATGCTGCGTCTGCCGCCCTGACTCAGACACTCAACAACGCTGTCGTCGCCCTGGTAACATAAAAGAACAAGGTCAGATATCACAGCGTTCAACGCTTAGCATTATCACGACATTGCCACGTGTTGTTCTATATCTTCTAAAATCGTGTAAAATGTTTTGAGGGCATGGTCTACAGTACATTGTACCAGATCCCGTATTGTACTGCGTAAATGATATGTACTAGCATTTCAGTGAATGAATATAAAGCGTAAAAGCAGATTGGGTAAAGTTTTATGTCGCTTTTAGCAATATTCCAGTAATATCCCTGTGGCAATACGCTGTATTGCAGCATACCAAGGCATCCATGCTGCTTCTGGAGGCGCAAAGGACACAGTGCACGTACAAGGAAGTAGTATGTCAAACATAGGAAACACAGTTACTTCAACCTGAAACGTCCTATTCAGTTCACCCGCCCATGTCCAAGAATAGTTTTCACTTTGATATGAGCCAGAGAAGACTCAAACCTCGGGTAATGTATGTGGATATGGACCTGCGAAGATCCGGGTTAGAATTGATCTTCAGTAACCCATGCTTGTCGTAAGAGGCGACTAACGGGATCGGGTGGTCAGGCTGACTTACATACATACATACTAACATTTGTATAGCGCCGATATCCAGCTCAGCTCAGCTGCTCAAAGGCGCTTTGTTTTCCCTCGTTCACTGGATGTCAATCTCAACGGCACATCGAATTGTCAATCTCAACTCCCTGGGGATCATACAACTCTTGCAGCCACTAGGCGCACCGAGTTATTGTGGCATTCCCATCCTTACGAGGTTCCCATTCACAGCTGGGTGGACTGGGACACATAGTCACAGTACTTTGTCCAAGTTTACTGCACTGGGTGTTTGCACGTATTCATATGGCCACCATCTGGTCATATACCAACGGATTCGTGGGTTCTTTTAAGTGCACAGGGTTGTGTACTGTACACTAGGGGTTGTGACAACACTGAAAGAGTCTGCACACAAAGTTGACTCCAAGGTTTTTACACCCGGTCACAGGTGGGCTCGATCCCGTCACCTCAAGCTCGCTGGATCACTAGCCTGGCGCTTTAGCCAGTTCGCCCACCGCGAACATGTCATCGGTTCCCAACTGCGCAGACATGTCATCGGTTCCCAACTGCGCAGATCGATGCTCATGCTGTTGATCACTGGGTTGTCTGTCCCAGACTCGATTATTTACAAACCGCCGCCATATAGCTGGAGTATTGCTAAGTGCGGCGTAAAACTAAGCTCACTCAATATGTGGATATGTTGACAAAACTACATAACACATCTGAAAACGGTATATTCTCAGCTTACCATCTTCGTATCATGCGACATCCCTAGAGCCACCCACTGGTCGGGTGTGTCCGGCAGCACCTTGACCGATAAGCTGAACCACACCCGGTCCCCCATATCTCGCCATTGCACGTTGAATGTGCAGTCCTTCTCCACACATTGGCTGAAGCATCCCCGAGTAGTGCCGCATTTACCTCCCTTGTCGTCCTTCGGAAGAAGAAAAGACATTTAAGGTCATTATTAAAACTGTGTTGTCGAGAAAACATTTAGCAGTGTAAAGTACTGTAAACTATACACATGCATACATAAAACTTTCTACGAGGTGAATGTACGTTGTAATCATTTTCTTTATCATTTGAATATAGGGTCAATGTATTTTTCAATCATACACGAATCGTGGATTCTTTGGTCAAATCCAAAGTTTACTCTAAAAGGACATCGCACTAGAAGAAAGATACAACAAGTATGTCTGATGTAATGCTTATATGACTATGTGTGTGAATCAGTGTGAATCAGTGCTAAAATGCATCATACGGTGACCTGGATGTTTTTATCGAAACACGTGCAGCTTTTTCGCTAAAACTTTAATATTAGAACATAACCAGTCTCGATTGCAATAGCAAAATTGCGGGGAAAAAGACGTGAAGCGTTACTGAAAATCATACAATATACATACGTAAACCCTGAAAAGTTCGGAAAATATCACATTTCCCCGTACGAGACTAAACCCTCCACACGTGCGCTTGCGTGCGTGCGTGTTGTGGGATAGATAGGTGGAGAGAAGGATCAGTAAGAATACTTTAGAAACGGGATATTACAAAGACCAGTTCAGACGGTACGTCGAATGTGTGACTCACCAGGCCCACTGTAGTACGGGTGGGTTTCGGGGTTGATGTTGCCTTTGGTACCGAAGGTGGTGTGGCTGGTGCCGGGGTTGGTAGAACCTGTCTAGGAGTGGTCACCCATGGTGAGGTTACACGGTCTGTTGGTCTTGTAGTTGTCGTCGTGGTTGCAGTCGTCGTTGTAGAAGGTGTAGTTGTAGTGGTCGTTGGTGTTGTGGTGGTTGTCGTGGTGCTGGTCGTTGTGCTGGTCTGGGGGAGATCCTCGGGACACGGCGTGATGTAGGGGGTCACCAGCTGGCTGGGGTTGACGCTGAGGGGGAAGCGGGCCATGTTGTCGGTGATGACGGCGGAGTTGACGCCAACCCAGAAGTTGCTGAAGCGCTGTACGAAGGTCGCTCTGTGGACGAAATGGTACATACGTGTAGATGTTTTGAAGTCAATATACACCTTTAAAAGAAGTTGGGGGACCTGAACTTTCAATTTGGATAGGGAGTATAAGCGTTATCAAACTTTTCAAAAACAGACATCTTATGAACGCACCACCATTTCCCTTTACTACCACCTCTAAACACAACGCATGGGTTGCACGGGCACAACGCAGTAGACCCATACATGTGCATGGGGTGTCATTATTGATTTTAACGGTTTCCAAGAAGGTCATCTTTCAAGGGCGATTACTGTACAAACAACTATGGTCATAAGGAAGTGCAAGTGGTGATGCACTCTCAAAACTCTTTTTAAGAGAATATTTCTGTTGAACCTCTGTGTTTTTATCAGGACTAAAAGATGACATTAAATGTGATAGAAAAAGTGAGTGAGTGGGTTTGGTTTTACGCCGCTTTTAGCAATATTCCAGCAATATCACGATACCGGACACCGGAAATGGGCTTCACACTTTGTACCCATGTGGGGAATCGAACCCGGGTCTTCGGCGTGACGAGCGAACGCCTTAGCCACTAGGCTACCCCACCGCCCCGTGATAAAACTAGTGTACATAGGTGAATGTAGACCCTTTTATCAACCCATTAAGGTATACGGTGAGAATATACACTGGGGTGTACACCATGGCGCAATACGTCAGTACAAGACAATACCCAGTCTTCACTATCCCCTGAAACAGATTCCATTGTTGTAAAGGGTGAAACAGTTGTGAAAATTATGTGAGTGGACAACTGAAAATCATGGATGACACCAGGTGTTCGCGGAAAGGGTAACACCGGCAGCACCCGCCATTAAAAGAGTAAGTATTCTCATCTAAAGCTGACCTTAGTTTATGCAAACATGTCATTGATTTATCGTGTGTCTGCTTTCTGTGAAATTTTGGTCAGAAAATATCTCACAAGGGAACCAGCAAATACGCTGGTTCTATCCGTTGCTGTGAATAGATCAAACACCACTACAACACACACACACTCTCCCTCTCCCTCTTCCTGTACGATACAGAACTGTATTAAATTCTCAATCTAACTTTCAAAGTTTGTCGGGAGAAGCATCGCGCTACTTGAGGGATTTGACCGAGGTCTACACTCCTGCTCGCAACTTAAGATCTGAATTTCGTCAGCTTCTCCGTGTTCCACAAAGTAACACTGTCCGTGATGTCATTGATTTTTGCTTCAGACTCTCCTCTTCAGATCTTTAAGTCTCGCTTGAAAAGATATCTCTCTTAGAGTTTCGTTGTACATGGAGATATGCGCTATACAAATGCACCGTTGTTATAATGTGAAATGAGTGTTTTGCGTGTCCTGCGTGCAGTGTGGTCAGAACCCCGCTTACGTGACGACTATGTGTCCAATGGACTGGGAGGGCGATGTCCAGTTGAAGAGGAGAGAGGACTTGTCATCGTTAGTGATGTGGGTCAGAGCCGCTTCCTGAAACAGATGGAATACATTGGAGAGCCAGTCTAGACAGCATTCAATGAGTAATTTGTCACAATACCACGTCACGTCAACAACCCCCTAGATACTGCTCCCGTCACCTACTTACCTTCCTCACCCCTTTACCGCCCGTGAAGATCCGCAGTAGAATTGATCTTCGGCAATCCATGCTAGTCGTAAGAGGGATCAGGTGGTCAGGCTTGCTGACTTAATTGACACATGTCATCGTATCCCAATGGCTTAGATCGATGCTCATGCTGTTGATCCCTGGATTGTCTGGTCCAGACTCGATTATTTACAGACCTATAGCTGGAATATTGCTGAGTGCGGCGTAAAACTTAACTCACTCACTCATTCACTCACCACTTTACCTCCCCCGTTCCCTCCACGCCCTCCGACACTACCCCACCCCATCCCACTCACCCTTCGACACTACCCCTTTCACACCTACCCCTCCCACACTACCCCTTTCACACCTACCCTGCCACACTCGTATCTGGATCCTTGCACGGCTGTGAAGGTGCCGACTAGCTCCGTCTGGTTGAAGCGAGGATCTGCCCGCCTGGCTTCTACCAGAAATCCTCGGAATGTATTCTTACAAAGGCCTCGAAGCATCACTGAAAATTCACAGAAAACATTCAAATGGACATTCACTAATTCCTTGACTTGAATATATATTTTAACACTTGTAATCAAATCAGGTAGTAATTGTGTATACTGCTTCTGTACCTTGAAGCCTTCGCTCGTCATGCCGAAGGAACGGGTACAATAAGTGGCCATGTCTGGTGTTCTCCGCCGTGATATTGCAGGAGTATTGGTAAAAGTGGCGTAAAACCCAACTCACTCACTCACTCACTTAATCTCAGCGAATCTGGATTTCAAATTCACGATCACAAGATCTTGGCACACCTAAGGGGCGCTACTCCTCAACACCAATATATGACTTGGCCCTTCGTGACCCTCCAAAGTGGATGTTCTGTCCGAGTATCCCTACTGTTTAACCTACCCATAATGCTTTCATTCGGGCCGAAGCTGTCCTTTGAGACGAGTATTACGAAAGGTGACCTCTCAGTGCTTCTCTGGCTGAGTCCATGACGCGGAGTCATACCAGTACATGCGTCAATCGGTGCTCCTCCACTGTATCCTTCCGCAATGTACAGATGAAACACCACGCCCAGGAGGCCAACAAGGCATGCTAGTCGTATCTGATTTTACAATAAAACATGTTATTTGGGTTTGGAGAACAGAATAAGGTTTTAACCTACATTTTATGTAACTAACTTGCACAAATGTTAGTTTATAGCCTGAAAAGTGAATTTCTAAAACATATTCGCTCAAGAGGTACATAGTCGGTGCCACAGTAATTGTCATGACTCTTATCATTTTGAGAAGCCTTTGAAGATATATTGTGATGTTAACACGCTTACGTTCGTGTACTTTCTTGTGCAGTATGCTAAAACCCGGTGTTATCACACCTTTTCGGGAGCTTTTCACGAGGTAACATTATGAGAGCACATTTCGATATATTGCTTAAATTAAGCTGAAACCACATAATGCTTATCCACTCATGAACTCCACTCATTTACATTCATTTGCGTTTTAACGCAAAATCGAATCGAGACATGTTATTCTCTAATGTTAATACTTGATCTCTACACTACAACGTAGAAAGTAAAACCTAAATCAAAAGCAGAATTGATAACCCTATTACTTTTGCCTTTTCATCACATACTATATATAATTTTAGAATGTATCCCCAAAGGCCAGTACGTGGGACTTTATTGAATATCATTGTCCCAAACACATGAAATGATATTTTAGTAATTTATGTCAAATTGGCAATATAAACAGTAGAAAGTATTGAAGACCCCCGCGATGTTATATCATATCCAATATATCGCACTTTCCCTGCGCAGCTGGGCATAGATCAGCCATCTCAGATGTCGTCTGCCTGGCTGGGATTTCTTGACAGATGACATCCGCCTAGCCCCGGGTAATGGCAGGCGGGCAAGGAGGAGTAGCATATATGTAGTGTTAACACTAAATGGAAATGTTTTCAGACGATTGAATAGATGAAATTGAATTTCACGTTTTCTGTGCTCGAAACTACGAATGACTGGGTTGCTAGTTTCTGTTATACGGAGAATGTTCCTGCTTGTTGAATGACCTAAACCCGTGTCCCCAGCATCATGTGCTTTGTGGCGAATAATTGGGCCCGGGTAGGGTGTCGTTGTACAAAGCGACCTTACCGCTAAGGTGACCCTAAGTCACATACCTTAACATAGACTTAAGATAGTCTTACCGCTAAGGTGACCCTAAGTCACATACCTTAACATAGACTTAAGATAGTCTTAGCGTTAAGGTTGTTTTGTACATCAGCACCCAGGCCGTCAGGCTTAATGGCAGTCATCGTATCCAAATCTTTTTAGAACGGTGTTCCTGGCGTCAATCACTGGATTATCTAGTCCAGACTCGATTATTTACATACCACTGTCATATAGCTGGTGTATTGTTGAGTACGGCGGTAAATATCAAACAAAACAACAAGCGAAAAAAATGAACTAACGTAACAAAGTAATGTGAACGTTTACCGACATACGACGTGGTGCTCGGTGACCAAGGAATTTAGCCTAGCCTTTGAATCTACCATGACATCTAAGGGAGGTAACTCTACCAATGGACTTGTTGAGCCTTAGTCCAGTGGGTCTCTTCAAGGTTATATCTTTTCAGGTTCGTTGATGGTGCCATGTGAATGTATTCAAAGATTAAAATATATATGTCCCATTGTTTCTCGTGCCTGGGAGGAATGTGGTCTTCTCTTCCAAACTCTAAGTAGGTCGGGGCGGTGGGGTAGCCTAATGGTCAAAGCGTTGACTCGTCACGCCGAAAACCCGGGCTCGAATCCCCACATGGGCACAATGTGTGAAGCCCATTTCTGGTGTCAACCGCCGTGATGTTGCTGGAATATTGCTAAAAAGCGGCGTAAAACCAAACTCAGTCAGTCAGTCTAAGTAGGTCATTCGAAGCAGTCATATAACCAGTTCTAAATTCAGCTTTCTTTGTCATAATGTGATGAAGTCAGTAAAACTATTTGGAAATAGGAATGCACTGAATAGTATTATGATATTAAATAACCAGTAAAATACCCGTAATATTGATACAAGGACAAGGGACATCACATAACGTCTGACAATGCGATACACGACATTCATTAATGTATTCAACTTTAAACTATACACTGAATCACTACAGGTTTAGTCTCGACGAATAACTTTGAGAAACAAACCTGAGAAAAGATGATTGCAAACTGCACATATTTTGAATTCAAAATGGCGGACATATCGACTGCAGTTAAGCAAATTTTGACATACGTAACCAATTTTACGGACCAAAATATGAGATTTAAATGATCGTTAGTTGACGGAAATGGAGCGAAAGTACAAATCAACATGACAGAGCATAACACCGTACATTATAGATGTGTTTAGATTGTCTTTCAAAGTAGGTTTTAAAACAGCACGTCTTGGGGAAGCTCAAACTCTCCGTGGGTTTAGAAGAATTCACAAAGAGGAACATAAGTTTTGCATCGAAAGCATCATGTACCATCCTAAATCATGCTGAAATAATATCATGAAACGAGATGCTAAAGTATACTTGAAGCTAAGAATTATTCATAAGAACTAAAGTAAGTGATAATATATAACACAAAAGTAGCTAACTTCGAGATAAAGTGAAGAAATACGACCACATTATTCGAACATGTGATTCTGAATGTATCGTTTCTTAACTTTTACAGAAATATTTGACCTATGCTCGGGTAATCTCGTTCGGAAAAATACATTTCTGATGACGGACAGAAAAAGCGACATAGCCTTCCCACTCAACAATGAAAAACACACGCATAAATACATAAAAATAAGTACACATTTACATGTATATAAAAATGAGCAGAGAATCAACTTACCTTTTCCCTGCTGACCATGGTGGTAATTGTCCAGGAGTAAACACAATGAAATTATAATCGGATGGACATATTGCAAAACTTCACCCTGAGTGGTCACGTGGTATGGGGCTATGTAATACAGATCACGTGACGTATCGATACATTGATTGATGGTGTTCCGGGTTTACCAGACCCATTTACATTCACAAGACATGACGTCATACAGGTAAAGTGCCCTGATTATCTACCTGGGCGTGACTACGACCCGTGGTAATGATAGGTACTTAATGATTTACTTGTAATCACAGGTAATGCTGTCCCAAGGTGTTAATTTGATTACACATAAAACCGACTTCCTACCTGTCTTCTCTGTTGGTAATTGTTTACCTTGGAGAAATAACGCCGTGGGGAGTGCATCAATCTACCTGAGCTGCAGATCTACTGCCATCAGCCTGTGAGAAATAGCCACCATTAGATTAAATGTCTAAACCTTTGAGATGGCCGCCATTACTTGTCCCTTCCGTTTCATATGGTCAATTTTTACTCTGTTTTTTTTCATTCGTGAATATGCATGGATGATGTCTGGTTTCGAAAATAAGTGTCTGTTGGGCGTCCGCATTCACATTGCCTCTGTACAAGACCCGTGAAGATGCGGGTTAGATTTGGTCTTCAGTAACCCATACTTGTCGTAATAGGCGACTAACGGGATTGGGTTGTCAGGCTCGCTGACTTGGTTGACACATGTCATCGGTTCCCAATTGCATAGATCGATGCTCATGATGTTAATCACTAGATTGCCTTGTCCTGACTCGATTAGCTACAGAACGTCGCCATACAGTTGGAATAATGCTGAGTGAGACGTGAAACAACAAACCTCTATACAAAGTACATTTTCCCAGGAATGACAAGTAAATGGATGATCAACTTCTTTATTGTATAATAGCGACGTTTCGGTATATAGAGAATCTCACCCATGTGTCTTCTGATATCAATTATATCAACTCGAGTTGATAAAGTAACAAATATTTTTACTTTTATCAACGAGTGTTGATATATTTGCTATCAGAAGACACGAGGGTGAGATTCTATTTATCATCCAAAATCACTCTTCATTAATTTTCAATGAAAAATGTACATCTCTGAACATGCCATTAGACTTGCAGTGCAGCGATGTCATAGCATTGTGACGTCATCAAGTACATGACGTCATAGCATTGTCAGGGCATTGTACAAAATCTACTGTCAAAACGATATCTCCTGTGGAACACAGTTTTGGATGATAAAGATACTTATACCGTTTTCAAGCATTCAAGTTCATGCTTGAAAATGGTGTAAGCATCTGTACCGAAACGTCGCTATCATACAATATATAAGTTGATCATCCATAAAGACTTGTCATTCCTATTACTTACAACTTCTAGACTGCCTCTCTAACAGTAGACGTGAGATGGTGAGGTTTACCGCCGTATTTAGTGACATCCCAGCAACGTCACTGCGACACAAGACTACGGCCCGAGACTACGCCACAAGTGACTGTTGTTTTCCGCCGCAACAAGCAATCACTCACATCTCAGCGTTATCACGACTGGAACACGAAAGTGAGTGAGTGTGTTTAGTTTTACGCCGCATTTAGCAATATTCCAGCAATATCAAGCGGTGGATACCAGAAATAGCTCATAGCACTCATGTAGGGAATCGAACCCGGGTTTTCGGCGTGACGAGCGAACGCTTTAACCACTAGGCTGTCCCACCGCCCCTTACACACAAGACGTTTTTCATAGAACATTGGGCTAGGAGTGTAGTTGAGTCGAATGTATGGGTGAATTTATCAAAGTCAGTCCAATTTACTGAGAATCGAAATATACATGGTTGTGTAATTACATTTATCTATGGCGCTGTTTGTTTTGTTTATTACGCTCACGGGACGCCAGTATTGTGTCAGAAAACACTATAAATCTCGTAGTCAAATCATCTTGTTTAGGACAAGGGATACAGGTGTTAATTTTTCAACATAATGCACTTTTGTAATGGTCACTTCGACTGATATAATGTAACAATCCAGGCCTTAAGATATATACCCCTAGGCCATGCATTGCTATGAGGGTGTGGGACTAGCGTAAGACGTAAATGAAGTCAGTATCACCTGGGATAGGCGTTGGTATGTGTAAATTATCTAAGGAAAAGCCAATTGGTTACTCATGACTGACTGACTGACTGAGTTTGTTTTTACGCCGCTTTTAGCAATATTCCAGCAACATCACGCCGGGGGACACCAGAAATGGGCTTCACACATTGTACCCATGTGGGGATTCGAACCCGGGTCTTCGGCGTAACGAGCCAACGCTTTAACCACTAGGCTACCCCACCGCCCCTGGTTACTCATGAGCTTTAACTGAAAGCATTTACATTGGCGAAATGGCCAGCTTGTACACCCGTGATATAAACCCTGCCGGATGTGTAAATATATCCCTGGCTGTTGTAATTGTTTCTGTGAAGAGCTAAAGTGATTTATAGGAAGAGAGTTTTCATGGATGTCAACTTTTTTATTTGAGGAACACAACGTTTCGGAGTATATCCTTACTGATGACGGAGTAAGGATATACTCCGAAAGTTGTGTTCCTCATAATAAAGAAGTTGACATCTATAAAACTCTCTTCCTTATGTGTATCACATATACATGCCATTCAAAGACCTAAAGTGGTTTGTGTTCAAACTTCACTAATACTGAATTGCCTGGATCGGAGAGTGATTATAAATGACGACTGAGTTTATCTGGGCTTGGTGTAGCCTCCAGGGTTCCAGCTAACTTTCAGTGCAACATGTAATGGCCACAGCTTAATGAGACCTAGAGCTTGTGTAAAGGAGAAGTACACCCTGTAAGTTCTGGTATCCATGTAATTCTAGTCTTCCAGACTTTTTTGGTACATCTTCTTGTAACATATTAAGCTGCATGTAACTTGTTGCACTTCTGATAATTAGTCGTGTTGTGGCTTGTTGCACTTCTGGACCAACTTTTATGGATAACAACTTTTATTCGTTGCACTTCCTCTAATTAGTCATTTTATAACTGGTTGCACTTCTGTAAATTAGTCATTTTATAACAGGTTGCACTTCTGTAAATTAGTCATTTTATAACTGGTTGCACTTCTGTAAATTAATCATTTTGTATCTTGTTGCAATGTAACTTGTTGCAAATATAAATTGTACTTTCTGTAATTCGTTCTTCTTGTAATATATTGTAATAAATTCTGCTTGTTGTAACTTGTTGTACTTTCAGTAAATTGTGCCTTTTGAAACTTGACCCATCCTGTAAATTCGGCTTCTTGTAATTTGATGCCTGTCTCTAAATTTGTGTTTTGTAATTTGTTCCACATTAATGTAAATTTTAGGTTTTGGAGCCATTGGTGCGTCCTGTAAATTGTGTCTTGTATCTTCTTGTTCTTCATGTAACTTCTGGGGTTCCTGTAATGCTAGTGTTCCAATACTAACTGCTTCATGTAACTTGTAATCCATGTGACATCTATGATGCTTTATCGAAAACATCAGAAAATAACAGACAAAGCACTTTCAACAATAATTAATTCAATTAATTTTTATTGTTTCATCTGAATGGCCATAAAAATACATGCCGTATGAAAGTTTAATTTGTATAAGATCCCCTCCTTGTCTCTATTTTTAAAATAGAAATAACGACAATACATGCGTTCTGGATGCCTGAGGCAAGCACAGAACATCTTCATTATCCTCCGAAACATAAAAACTAATTATCTGAAGACAATGTGACACATTTATAATGTGTATAAACACTGTACATACATTAACACAACATGATTAATCTCGTTTTCCAATCATCTTTTAATATCAAATATCATACATAAAACAATTAATAAAATTGCATTCTTATTAGCAGATTGAATAGTACAAAAATAAAAGGGACAGCATTACTACAAGCCTGTGTCAACACATATGAACATGACAATGGGAACATAAGCGATTACCTTCTGTTAGCGGAAACAAAAACATGAACCTTTCAGTGCAATACTGAAAAATATATATGTTCCTGAGATGAAGAAACAACAATGGTCAGGTTCAAAATATTTAGTAAAATACAACTTTCACAATAAAATAAATTGTAAATAGAATGTGAACATTGAGGTTCCGTTATAAACACCATTTGAACTTTAAAAGATGACAAAGGTCTGACCAATGTGTTTTTTGTTAAATATACAATATATAGAGAACTGTCACTTGCTTATGTACATGGCAATATATTTATATACATGTGTATTCAACATTGTACAAGTGTGAAACAGGTATAAGGAATGTTTTGTTACACGCTCTTTGTGCATCTCACAGAAACTTTGCCAAGTCCATTATATCACATTTGCAAAACCATTATGCCATTTCCAGTTCATACCAAAATTTAGAACAGATAGATATTGACTCCTTATACATATATATTACACAAAATTAAAATATGAATTAAACTCTGATAGTTCCTCTTCATTATTATATGTTATATGAGAGTTAGGAATAATCTAATGAAACAACTTGGTTTAACTTGAAAAAAAACATCATTGAATTAATTCTGAAAGTTTACTCTTGAAAATCTTTTGATGGGCTCCTCCCCCGAGACAGATTTGTATGGATTAAAAAGGATGTCTACAGTGGCTCATCTTGGTGTATAAACACCATATATCCTCGCCGTATACGCACAGTATATGCTCGGTGTATACACATACATGACAGGCAGACATACAGCAACACTGTCTGAAACAGTGACTCTTACCTGAAGGAACCTCATTGAAAGGTATGTTATGCCTTTTGGAGAGGCTTGATATGCATGGATTTCTGTACGCTTGCAGGGGCATCTCATCTCTGATTCCAGGACAAACTTAAATAATATTTCCTCAGCAGTTTATCTCGGACACATGGATATAACATTTGACACATTTGATGGAACTCTTTCGAATAGCTGTAATATTTAGCAGGATATAAAAGAACATATAATCTGTTGGAAAACTGATAGGATATTTAGTTGCCCATAAGCATGGTGAATGCCAAGTTGGAGCTGTCTAGGAGATGATGATGACGACGATGATGGCAGCGGAGATGGCGGTGATGACAATTATGTGGAAGACGAGTAGAGCCTGTCGGGCCAAGGAACCCTGCTGGACAGACAGGACATGGTCAATTAGTGGGGAGGAGACAAGGTCTATATAAGCACCTGTTAACTTAGTTGTCATTGACACTTCAGCTACTAAAGTGCCACTTAAAGACAATACTGCAGCCATTGGCACTTCAGCTACTAAAGTGCCACTTAAAGACAATACTGCAGCCATTGGCACTTCAGCTACTAAAGTGCCACTTAAAGACAATACTGCAGCCATTGGCACTTCAGCTACTAAAGTGCCACTTAAAGACAATACTGCAGCCATTGGCACTTCAGCTACTAAAGTGCCACTTAAAGACAATACTGCAGCCATTGGCACTTCAGCTACTAAAGTGCTACTAAAGTGCCACTTAAAGACAATACTGCAGCCATTGGCACTTCAGCTACTAAAGCCACTTAAAGACAATACTGCAGCCATTGGCACTTCAGCTACTAAAGTGCCACTTAAAGACAATACTGCAGCCATTGGCACTTCAGCTACTAAAGTGCCACTTAAAGACAATACTGCAGCCATTGGCACTTCAGCTACTAAAGTGCCACTTAAAGACAATACTGCAGCCATTGGCACTTCAGCTACTAAAGTGCCACTTAAAGACAATACTGCAGCCATTGGCACTTCAGCTACTAAAGTGCCACTTAAAGACAATACTGCAGCCATTGGCACTTCAGCTACTAAAGTGCCACCTAAGGACAATACTGCAGCCATTGGCACTTCAGCTACTAAAGTGCCACCTAAAGACAATACTGCAGCCATTGGCACTTCAGCTACTTCAGCTACTAAAAGAAGCCACCTAAGCTACTAAAGTGCCACTTAAAGACAATACTGCAGCCATTGGCACTTCAGCTACTAAAGTGCCACTTAAAGACAATACTGCAGCCATTGGCACTTCAGCTACTAAAGTGCCACTTAAAGACAATACTGCAGCCATTGGCACTTCAGCACTAAAGTACTTAAAGCGCCACACTTCAGCTACTAAAGCCACAAGGACAATACTGCAGCCATTGGCACTTCAGCTACTAAAGTGCCACTTAAAGACAATACTGCAGCCATTGGCACTTCAGCTACTAAAGCGCCACCTAAGGACAATACTGCAGCCATTGGCACTTCAGCTACTAAAGCGCCACCTAAGGACAATACTGCAGCCATTGGCACTTCAGCTACTAAAGCGCCACTTAAAGACAATACTGCAGTAGTAGTGCTTACAAATGTGATCATATTCAGTGTAAATGTAACCATGATTACAAGTGGTAACTAGTATATACATAGTTGTCTGCCCCTGTGTTACTTGCTCTTAAACTGCCTGGAGCTCAGCATAAAGAGAATAAAACATGGACTGGTCAGGTTTGAGACATTTTACTCTATCTGAATGGGGTATCCATATTAAACAAAGGCACTGATACCAGACACATTACTGTTGTGAAGGTGTAAATGTCTGCTGTGAAGGTGTGAGGGTGTTGTGAAGGTGTAAATGTCTGCTGTGAAGGTGTGAGAGTGTTGTGAAGGTGTAAATGTCTGCTGTGAAGGTGTGAGAGTGTTGTGAAGATGTAAATGTCTACTGTGAAGGTGTGAGAGTGTTGTGAAGGTGTAAATGTCTGCTGTGAAGGTGTGAGAGTGTTGTGAAGTGTAAATGTCTGCTGTGAAGGTGTGAGAGTGTTGTGAAGGTGTAAATGTCTGCTGTGAAGGTGTTGAAGAAGTGTGAGAGTGTTGTGAAGGTGTAAATGTCTGCTGTGAAGGTGTGAGAAAGATGTAAATGTCTACTGTGAAGGTGTGAGAGTGTTGTAAAGGTGTGAATGTCTACTGTTGTGAGAGGTGTGAAGGTGTAAATGTCTGCTGTGAAGGTGTGAGAAGGTCTGTTGTGAAGGTGTAAGGTGTAAATGTCTGCTGTGAAGGTGTGAGAGTGTTGTAAGGGCGTGTAAATGTCTGTTGTGAAGGTGTAAATGTCTGCTGTGAAGGTGTGAGAGTGTTGTGAAGGTGTAAATGTCTGCTGTGAAGGTGTGAGAGTGTTGTGAAGGTGTAAATGTCTGCTGTGAAGGTGTGAGAGTGTTGTAAGGGCGTGTAAATGTCTGTTGTGAAGGTGTAAATGTCTGCTGTGAAGGTGTGAGAGTGTTTTGAAGGTGTAAATGTCTGTTGTGAAGATGTAAATGTTTGCTGTGAAAGTCTGTTGTGAAGGTGTGAGAGTCTGTTGTGAAGGTGTGAGAGTCTGTTGTGAAGGTGTCAGTGTCTGTTGTGAAGGTGTGAGAGTTTGTTGTGTGGGTGTGAGAGTCTGTTGTTAAGGTGTGAGAGTCTGTTGTGAAGGTGTGAGAGTCTGTTGTGAAGGTGTGAGAGTCTGTTGTGAAGGTGTAAGAGTATTGTAAAGGTGTGATAGTCTGCTGTAAAGGTGTGATAGTCTGTTGTGTGGGTGTAGGTGTGAGAACCTGTGGTTTTGATGGCTGAGCCTCTCTCTGAACTGGCATTCCCTTCTGAGCAAGCTGGTAATTTTCACTGCGATCTGGAACACAACAGCAACACAGTTAAGTGAGCGCCACTGCACTGCTAGTCTGTCCTAACTGTAAGTGTCTGTCAAATGATAACAAAACTCTTCCAGGACGATTTCACAAAGTGTAAATCACAAGGCTTTTTAAATTGAAGCCCAGAAAACTGTTCCACCTTATTCCCTTGGGATACTGTCACAGACTCCTCCAGTTTATATCCAAGACAAACTAGCTGTTAATAGGAATATTCAAAGCAAGTTGTGGACTGATGAATTATTAATTTTGATCATTAATAGTTCATCTTGTCAGATTCATACTGACACACCTAATGACATGTGGCTAGGCCACCTTACATCATACTGACACACCTAATGACATGTGGCTAGGCCACCTTACATCATACTGACACACCTAATGACATGTGGCTAGGCCACCTTACATCATACTGACACACCTACCCACCTTACACCTATGACATGTGGCTAGGCCACCTTACATCATACTGACACACCTAATGACATGTGGCTAGGCCACCTTACATCATACTGACACACCTAATGACATGTGGCTAGGCCACCTTACATCATACTGACACACCTAATGACATGTGGCTAGGCCACCTTACATCATACTGACACACCTAATGACATGTGGCTAGGCCACCTTACATCATACCGACACACCTAATGACATGTGGCTAGGCCACTTACATCATACTGACACACAAGCATCAAAAGACATACTGATACCAATACACCTAATGATATTTTACTGATACCAATACACCTAATGATATTTTACTGATACCAATACACCTAATGATATTTTACTGATATCAATACACCTAATGATATTTTACTGATACCAATACACCTAATGATATTTTACTGATATCAATACACCTAATGATATTTTACTGATACCAATACACCTAATGATATTTTACTGATACCAATACACCTAATGATATTTTACTGATACCAATACACCTAATGATATTTTACTGATACCAATACACCTAATGATATTTTACTGATACCAATACACCTAATGATATTTTACTCAAACCAATACACCTAATGATATTTTACTGATATCAATACACCGAATGATATTTTACTGATACCAATACACCTAATGATATTTTACTGATACCAATACACCTAATGATATTTTACTGATACCAATACACCTAATGATATTTTACTGATACCAATACACCTAATGATATTTTACTGATACCAATACACCTAATGATATTTTACTGATATCAATACACCTAATGATATTTTACTGATATCAATACACCTAATGATATTTTACTGATACCAATACACCTAATGATATTTTACTGATACCAATACACCTAATGATATTTTACTGATATCAATACACCTAATGATATTTTACTGATACCAATACACCTAATGATATTTTACTGATACCAATGCACCTAATGATATTTTACTGATACCAATACACCTAAAGATATTTTACTGATATCAATACACCGAATGATATTTTACTGATATCAATACACCTAATGATATTTTACTGATATCAATACACCTAATGATATTTTACTGATACCAATACACCTAATGATATTTTACTGATACCAATACACCTAATGATATTTTACTGATATCAATACACCTAATGATATTTTACTGATATCAATACACCTAATGATATTTTACTGATACCAATACACCTGATATTTTACTGATACCAATACACCTAATGATATTTTACTGATACCAATACACCTAATGATATTTTACTGATACCAATACACCTAATGATATTTTACTGATATCAATACACCTAATGATATTTTACTGATATCAATACACCTAATGATATTTTACTGATACCAATACACCTAATGATATTTTACTGATACCAATACACCTAATGATATTTTACTGATATCAATACACCTAATGATATTTTACTGATACCAATACACCTGATATTTCACTGATACCAATACACCTAATGATATTTTACTGATACCAATACACCTAATGATATTTTACTGATATCAATACACCTAATGATATTTTACTGATATCAATACATCTAATGGTATTACACTGACACCAATAAAATATATCAAATCCAACTAGTCTGCAGCTCATTTCAAACTATTGGCATGTCTAAAATAACTCTGGGAACAGCCAGTCTCTCTGGATTTTCGTTCACCTCAGACTCAGGGTCTGAAGGCAGAGCCTATCCTAAATACCATTCCCACATAACACTGATCAACACCAGTACTACATCTTGTTCAGCTTGACCTGAGCTACTCTACATATGCATGACCCAGGAGGTCAAATGGCACAAACGGCTGGTCGAGTTAACTTCATTAAATAGGGGAGAAAAGGAATGTTTATTAATGTTGCATTCATGCAAAGCATGCATACATGGATTCGCTACACCCCAAATCGAAAACATTAAACCATCTGTAGATTCTTTTTTAAAGAAAGTTTGGACAGTGCTGACGATTTTTCGATTCAAACGGCGACCTTGTCTCGGTTGTTCGGACATGTTGACAATCAACTGACAAAGGTGCACCCCTTGACAATAATAGACCGAACCAGTTGTGACACGGTCACGCAATGCATTAGTATTCACTTGATCAGGTCAAGCTGAACAAGCTGTACATGTGCATATGACATGCAAAATATGTTTGAATTCCTGGAAATATACTTAAATAATAAGACAATTCATATTTCACACCACAATAGGGCATGCTACAAATGGCACAATACCATTACCCTGGATGACTTTTACACTCCACGGTCGTTCTCAGCTCCCTGAGGATCATACTACCAAAGCTGGCTGTCAGGCACCAGAAGTTAACAGTCACAATATCATAACATTCCTACTAGGTACCCATTTCCTGCAGAGTGAACAGAAGCCTACTTCGAACAATGTAGCTTGTGTAAGGAGAAACCCAGAAACTCTCAGGAGACAAACCACTGAACATGGTCACCAATCAATGTATTCTCAACCAAGGCTGGTTAAATTCACCAGCTTTATCCCGCCTCAGACATAAGTGTTGTACACTGAAGAGAACCTGCGACCTGATAAGATCCAGGTTAGAATTTGGTCTTCGGCAACCCATGCTTGATGTAAGAGGAGACAAAAGGGATCGGGTGGTCAGGATCGCTGACTTGGTTGACACATGTCATCATATCCCAATGGCATAGATCAATGCTCATGCTGTTGATCACTGGATTGTCTGGTCAAGACTCGATTTACAAACAAACAAAATATGAAGAGAGGATGCTGGCAATCAGACTGACCTTTAGACTCGGCTTGGCACTTGAAGCAGACGAGGAGGAACTCAACGAGGACCTGCCATACAACATAGCCCACCAGGATCCAAGTCACGTAGCTGGGGATGGCTGGCTTGCCAAGGTTCACACCCAGGAAAACTGTCACCACTGAAGAATACAAACAAAGCAAAACTGATATTTGACAAGACTCCCATATTTGTGTCACCAATGTTTTCCATCTCTTATTTGGTTTTTGGAGTGAATGGATTACACGAAAAGGTTTCCATCTTCATGAAAGACATTTGAATATAATTTGAAACAAAACTGATAGATTAACATAAAGTCTAAATGCTCTGAAGCTCAACAAAATAATGAAAAAATAATTATGGTCATATCGTTCATCAGATTAAATTTATGTTAGCAACTTTAAAGGACTCTATAGCGGGGAAATAGTAACACCAAGTTTCAGCTTCAAAGGCCTTGTAGTTTTAGAGAAGATACCAGTTAACAACAGATCAACAGACAATCACATGGCACAACCCGACAGATAACAAGAAACACACCATGCCTAAATGTATTTAATCTTTAGGTTCATGTGAGTTAGTAATGCTGACTGATGGTACCAACCTGCAAGGATATGGGCTGCCGTCCCCACTCCGAAGTGGGCCCAGTTGAAGATAGGTCGATTGGCATCATTCGGATGGGGTCGGAACAGAGCCATGATTGGCTGAAAGTTTAATGTTATACTTATGTAGCGGTCATAAAATTTCTGAGTCCCATGCTGGGATTAGATCCATGGACCTTCTGATCTGAAGGTGGACGCCTTGTCCACATGACCAATGGGTTAACCCCCATCAGCAAGCTGACAAGGTAAGGATGGCATCTAAATGATGACTCCACGTCCTGCCACACTAACATGAACACCAACAGTATGAAATGTAATACATTTCCCACTTGCACAAAGCCCTCTTAGCACTATGATGATCCTAACTCCCTTTGTCCAAGCCCTTAGATGGCTTTGTTTAACATAGTCAGTTGTAGCCCTTAGGTGGCTTTGTGCACGAGGGCCCAGATCCTTTATCAGATGGATATAATTGCTTCAAAACTGTCTAAAGCCATCTACCTCTTCATCGTGAAGATTTAAATACTACATTTTCGATCTTTGCCATCTTCATGGAAACATTTGACTGTCCTATTTGTGCATTATTTTTATCTTTGTTCGCTTTAATTTCATGAGAAAATTGTTGGTTTACAAAAGGTTAGAAAAATGAATGAGTAAAGACAAGCTTAAAGAGTCTCCATGTAAGATGTCAGACCAAAGAAAAATATGTAGCCAGATGGTCAGACAGGAGCAAAACATATAGAGAGATGGTCAGACAAGAGACAGACGTATCAGACAGGAGACAGACAGACGGTCAGGATACAAACACAGACATGTAAGACTAAAGCCAGGGTAGACATATCAGACAGGAAACAGATATGGATATGTCTAACAGGATACAGACATAGACATATTACACAGGAGATAAACATAGACGTTTCAGACAGGAAAAGGATGCATTGATACTGCATGGTGGAGAAGTGTTTGACTTACATTCAGCACTGCCAGAACTGTGACAATGACACCAAGGATTGGGTGAGCCTTCTTTGAAGCCTCTTCTCCAAGCTGGAAGAGACCAAATACAAGTTCCATATTACTGTTGGTGACCTGTTACCAATGGTGCTGTATTACTGTTTTGTTAGTCTTGTACATTTTTCTCAAACCTGAATCTGAGTTGTGTTACTACCACATGTAGTATACGTAGAATTTGTGCAGTATCAGCGACATTTTACAACAGTTAAGACAAGATTCTTTTATGACTGACAAATTCTTTATTCTGTTATAATGTGAGAGTGAGAGAGTGAGTTTAGTTTCACGCCACTTTTAGCAATATTCCAGTAATATCACGGCGGGAACACAATAAATGGGCTTCACACAATGTACCCATATGGGGAATTGAACCCGAGTAGGCGTGACTAGCAAAGTTATAATGTGAGACTTCAGTATTGGTGGGGCGGTGGGGTAGCCTAGTGGTTAAAGCGTTGGCTCGTCACGCCGAAGACCCGGGTTTGAATCCCCACATGTGTACAATGTGTGAAGCCCATTTCTGGTGTCCCCTGCCGTGATGTTGCTGGAATATTGCTAAAAGCGGCGTAAAACCAAACTCAGTCAGTCAGTCAGTCAGTAATGGTCACTGAGTGCTTCACAAGGGTATAAGGATATATACCCATGCATCATGTTGCATCATAATTAAATAAAGAATCTTGCCTTCAATGTTACTTAACATCTCCTAAAATGCCAATCAACAGTTGAAATTACAGTCGTGTCATACTTGTTGAATGAAAGTACTCACTTCACTCCAGCCCTTCACATCCACAAAGATGAGGATGAATGCTGTAACGGCGGCCAGCAACACCAGCATCATGAAGCTACGATGAAGCTAAAGAGAAACATACACCAAAGTAAGAATTAAAAACATGTAAGCCACAGTGTTTCAGAATCATTTCTCCATTATCTGGCTTTAAACAAAAAGGGATCAGGCAGTTCAAACTCAAGACTTGCGATGTCAGACAGGAGATAATGTTTATCGCCATGAAATCATCTGGATATATAATTTTCTGGATAAAGTAATCATGGGCTCAGAAAAGTGTGTGCCATGTTCAGTGTTCCCAGAGTTAACTGTTTAGAAAGCAGTGTTGTCAGGCTGACATAGGTTTATTGTAGTTCTTAGAATGTGGGCAAAGAAATTAATGCTTTAAGAATAGTTGAGGTAGAATTTGGGCGATGAGATTTACAACCATGAAAATGCATTAAAAAAAAAGTTGCCACTTTTTTCATGAAATATCATGGTTAGTGAGTGAGTGAGTTTAGTTTTACGGTGCGGCACTCAGCAATATTCCAGCTATATGGTGGCGGTCTGTAAATAACTGAGTCTGGACCAGACAATCCAGTGATCAACAGCATGAGCATGATCTACGCAATTCTGAACCGATGACATGTGTCAACCAAGTCAGCAAGACTGACCGCCCGATCCCTTTAGTCGCCTCTTACGACAAGCATGGGCTACTGAAGACCAATTCTAACACGGATCTTCACAGGTCCCAACTTGACACGCTACCAAGAGGCTCCAAATCTCATGATTCCACAGATTACCACATGGTATCACTTTTCACGATTAATGATTATATGAGATTCTGTGAGTGAGAGAGTGAGTTTAGGTTTATGCCAATTTTAGCAATATTCAAGCAATATCACAGTGGGTGACACCAGAAATGGGCTTCACACATTGGACCCATGTGTGGAATCGAACCCAGATCTTCAGCGTGACGAGCATACGCTTAACCTCTAGGCTACCCCACCATCTCCAGAATTCTGTCAGCTCCTCTCCCCAGTATCATGCTTTGCTGCCTCAAAGTAAACATTTCAGAAAGGCTGGATGACAATTCAAGACAACATGATCACATGATCATGGCACCTACCTGGAACCACACTTTCTCCCCACAGCACTTGCTCTCAGGCCACTGAGGCTTGTAATAGCGAGCGATGACGATACCGAGGCTTGCAGCAAATATCCAGGCTAAAACCATCAAGGAGCCTAAAACAGAATAATATATGGTCACCATAACTACAATGTGCTGACAGTGTATGGTCACCTTAGTGCTAAGATTACTTAGTAAGACTTTTGTAGGTCTATGTCAAGGTATGGGAGTTATGATCACCTTAGTGCTAAGATTACTTAGTAAGACTTTTGTAGGTCTATGTCAAGGTGTGGGAGTTATGATCACCTTAGTGCTAAGATTACTTAGTAAGACTTTTGTAGGTCTATGTCAAGGTGTGGGGTTATGATCACCTTAGTGCTAAGATTACTTAGTAAGACTTTTGCAGGTCTATGTCAAGGTGTGGGGGTTATGATCACCTTAGTGCTAAGATTGCTTTGTAAGACCTTTGTAGGTCTATGTCAAGGTGTGGAGGTTATGATCACCTTAGTGCTAAGATTACTTTGTAAGACTTTTGTAGGTCTATGTCAAGGTGTGGGGGTTATGATCACCTTAGTGCTAGGATTGCTTTGTAAGACTTTTGTAGGTCTATGTCAAGGTGTGGGGGTTATGATCACGTTAGTGCTAGGATTGCTTTGTAAGACTTTTGTAGGTCTATGTCAAGGTGTGGGGGTTATGATCACCTTAGTGCTAAGATTACTTTGTAAGACTTTTGTAGGTCTTTGTCAAGGTGTGGGGGTTATGATCACCTTAGTGCTAAGATTACTTTGTAAGACTTTTGTAGGTCTATGTCAAGGTGTGGGGTTATGATCACCTTAGTGCTAAGATGCTTTGTAAGACTTTTGTAGGTCTATGTCAAGGTGTGGGAGTTATGATCACCTTAGTGCTAAGATTGCTTTGTAAGACTTTTGTAGGTCTATGTCAAGGTGTGGGGGTTATGATCACCTTAGTGCTAAGATTACTTTGTAAGACTTTTGTAGGTCTATGTCAAGGTGTGGGGTTATGATCACCTTAGTGCTAAGATTACTTAGTAAGACTTTTGTAGGTCTATGTCAAGGTGTGGGGTTATGATCACCTTAGTGCTAAGATTGCTTTGTAAGACTTTTGTAGGTCTTTGTCAAGGTGTGGGAGTTATGATCACCTTAGTGCTAAGATTGCTTTGTAAGACTTTTGTAGGTCTATGTCAAGGTGTGGGAGTTATGATCACCTTAGTGCTAAGATTACTTTGTAAGACTTTTGTAGGTCTATGTCAAGGTGTAAGAGTTGTGATCACCTCAGTGCTAAGATTACTTAGTAAGACTTTTGTAGGTCTATGTCAAGGTGTAAGAGTTGTGATCACCTTAGTGCTAAGATTACTTAGTAAGACTTTTGTAGGTCTATGTCAAGGTGTAAGAGTTATGATCACCTTAGTGCTAAGATTACTTTGTAAGACTTTTGTAGGTCTATGTCAAGGTGTAAGAGTTGTGATCACCTCAGTGCTAAGATTACTTTGTAAAGACTTTTGTAGGTCTATGTCAAGGTGTGGGAGTTGTGATCACCTCAGTGCTAAGATTACTTAGTAAAGACTTTGTAGGTCTATGTCAAGGTGTGGGAGTTATGATCACCTTAGTGCTAAGATTACTTTGTAAGACTTTTGTAGGTCTATGTCAAGGTGTGGGAGTTATGATCACCTTAGTGCTAAGATTACTTTGTAAGACTTTTGTAGGTCTATGTCAAGGTGTAAGAGTTGTGATCACCTCAGTGCTAAGATTACTTTGTAAGACTTTTGTAGGTCTATGTCAAGGTGTAAGAGTTATGATCACCTTAGTGCTAAGATTACTTTGTAAGACTTTTGTAGGTCTATGTCAAGGTGTAAGAGTTGTGATCACCTCAGTGCTAAGATTACTTAGTAAGACTTTTGTAGGTCTATGTCAAGGTGTAAGAGTTGTGATCACGTCAGTGCTAAGATTACTTAGTAAGACTTTTGTAGGTCTATGTCAAGGTGTGGGAGTTATGATCACCTTAGTGCTAAGATTACTTTGTAAGACTTTTGTAGGTCTATGTCAAGGTGTAAGAGTTGTGATCACCTCAGTGCTAAGATTACTTAGTAAGACTTTTGTAGGTCTATGTCAAGGTGTAAGAGTTGTGATCACCTTAGTGCTAAGATTACTTAGTAAGACTTTTGTAGGTCTATGTCAAGGTGTAAGAGTTGTGATCACCTCAGTGCTAAGATTACTTTGTAAGACTTTTGCAGGTCTATGTCAAGGTGTGGGGGTTATGATCACCTTAGTGCTAAGATTGCTTTGTAAGACTTTTGTAGGTCTTTGTCAAGGTGTGGGGTTATGATCACCTTAGTGCTAAGATTACTTTGTAAGACTTTTGTAGGTCTATGTCAAGGTGTAAGAGTTGTGATCACCTCAGTGCTAAGATTACTTTGTAAGACTTTTGTAGGTCTTTGTCAAGGTGTGGGAGTTATGATCACTTTAGTGCTAAGATTACTTTGTAAGACTTTTGTAGGTCTATGTCAAGGTGTGGGAGTTATGATCACATTAGATTGCTTTGTATGACGGCAACTGATCATGTAGTGATGAAGTCTTGAGTGTAAGTAGAATATGTAGAGATAAGTCTACCGGTAGAGGTTTCAAACTACAGTCAAATCCCGATGAGTCGAATCTCTGGGGACCAAGTAATAGATTCGACTTATCGATGTATTCGAGACATAGGTATGTCTATGAGGGTAGAAAAAAAGATGATCCAGTCCTAATTCCTCCACCTAAGCATTTGTTTACCTAATGATTTCCCTATCACTAATAGGGGCACCTTATCAGTTCCAGTCTGATTAGCACAGACAGTGATTTCCGTAAAATCACTAATCTGCCTTTTGAACTCACCCGTCAAAGGCGGAAAGGTGTGAGCTGCGCTGGTTTGTTTATTGGATCAGTTTGCTACACCAATCAACTTCTCATTGACTGACTTCGGCTTATGTATACAAGATTGCTGTTGTTTGAATCTCATGGGACCAAATTTTCTTCTCGAGTCATTGTGTGTATTTATGAGTCGAATTCGTGTAACCGGTATTCAAATGATGACAACTATTACAGGGAATGGTCGGGACCGACAGGTACTTCGAGTTATGCGTAATATTCGAGACACCGACATTCGACTCATCGGGATTTGACTGTATTTCTTTTCATGATCGGCAAAAAAATGTGTTGTTTTTTTTAAATGCCTCTCCTGATAACATGGTTAACATGACTATATAGTCTGGTATATCATTGTACAGATGCTAATAGTTATGTTTGTGCTTCTCACCGTGTGCCTTGACGAATGCGTCTGGGATGGCGCCAGTGGACAGTTCCTCAAACTTCTGTAAGTCGGCAGCTCTGGCTGTTACATATGGCCTCTTGTCATGTTTCTTAATAGTGGACGCTGAGTACAAAAATTAATCACATTTGATAATCAAGTAGATTATCATGAAGGACTCTCTAAGCACAGGAAGTTAATTCTGACTGGGGTCCTGTTTCACAGCATCAATGCCGCAACATGGCGGGTCTGTTGTACCAGACATGAGCATTTTCTTCCAATGTCTACAGGCAACAAAGTTCTATACTGAAAACACAGGATATCTATCTCCTTAGCCTACACATAATATAGCTCTGCATTGAAAAAGCAGTACGTTTCACTCCAGTTTACAAATAATAAAGCTATACATTGAAAACGGAGTACGCTCATCTCTAGATAACAAGGGTCTATGTTCATCTCCTTAGTCTATAGATAACAAGGGTCTATGTTCATCTCCTTAGTCTATAGATAACAAAGGTCTTTGTTCATCTCCTTAGTCTATAGATAACAAAGGTCTATGTTCATCTCCTTAGTCTATAGATAAAGGTCTATGTTCATCTCCTTAGTCTATAGATAACAAGGGTCTATGTTCATCTCCTTAGTCTATAGATAACAAGGGTCTATGTTCATCTCCTTAGTCTATAGATAACAAGGGTCTATGTTCATCTCCTTAGTCTATAGATAACTCAGATCTACATTAAAAATGCAGTACGTTTATCTTAACACAAAAAGTATAGCAAAGATCACCTGAACACAAAAAGTCTAGAAAAGATCACCTGCGAGAGACTCCCCCATGGCCAGCAGCAGATATCTATTTCGGGTCAAGTCAAACAAATTTTGGTCCAGGCTTCCTTGTTTGGATAGATTAAAAGAACACTGGAACACTCCATCAGTGTAGGAACCACTCTGCATGACAGCGCCAGCCTGGAACACCAGCAGTAAATTACTACATATTCCGAAAGGTGTATATAAATATAGAACAGAGCTTTGAGCACTAATGAGACAGTGAGTGAGTGAGACAGACAACTGAATCTGGGTCAGGCAAACCAAGGACAGTAACATGAGCAGTTCTACATCTCAACAGAATTACTATCAAATCACATGTATCAGTCAAACCACTGAGCCGAATCTCCAAATAGAATCAAGTCATTCCTAACCACACGGTACTGGGACCTATTTCCCCCCTTATGACCAGTTTCATACTTACAGTTTCAATCTGAATGTTTGATCTCCCATCGTTCCGAGAGTTGGAGACAGCCATGGTACCTTGGAAGTAAGAACACTCTGTCACACCATCTGCTCCCTGGAACAAAGAGTGACTGAGTGAGTTTAGTTTTATGCCGGACTCAGCAATATTCCAGCTATATGGTGGCAGTCAGTAAATAATCAAGTCTGGACCAGACAATCCAGTGATCAACAGCATGAGCATCAATCTGTGCAATTGGGAACCGATGACATTTGTCAACCAAATCAGCGAGCCAGACCACCCGATCCTGTTAGTCGCCTCTTACGACAAGCATGGGTAATTGAATATCAATATTCTAACCCGGACCTTCTTGGGTACCTGGAACAAAGAGGTCACTTCTTTGATTGAGTGAGTGAATTGGGGTTTACGTGGCTTTCATCAATATTCCAGCTATATCATGGTGGGGGACACAAGATCACTTCTTTGAGGATCAAATGGATGTACCTGTTGACTGTGAAGTCATAATTAGCTACTGGAAGCACTCATAAAATCCCGAACACCTTCATCAATTTGATATTTTCCTTGCATTATGAAACACTGGCTCACCATCGTCTGGTCATCCGACAAACCTACAGCCATCCAAGTATTGCCTGTCCCAGGGAGGCTGGCCTGGATGAAGAACTTGACGTCGCTGCTGCTGTCTTCCCAGCCGACAATGCTGTCTATCCCAGCCGACAATGAAGGTGCAATTTTTCGCGGTGCTAGGCTGGAGAGGAAGAAATCATGGAATACAGCCTTTTTTCTTGTTTCTATTGCCATTTTTTTTTAAGAAGCAAAAATATTAATTAATTTTCCTGCTGGAAAATAAAAGAAATATTGGCCAAAAATCTAAACTTATTTTTTTTATTGTTTTGTACCCCATACCAAATTGTCAAAAATTACTTTTAGTTTTCAATAGGAATATTACTTGGACTGGTGATTTTTATTTTTAATTTTTTTCCCTCCTGCCTTTAGGTTTTCTGAGGACAAAACTCTGCAAAACAAGAAATATAATTGGTCTGGCCTGAGGAGTAAACTTACAGGAGAATGTGTTGCTTGCATTCTTTATATGGCAACGTTTACAGAAACAAAAATTATCTTGCCGATTAACTTCTTAACAATTTATTTTACAAAATAGTTTCTTTCAAGATAAATATGCCGACACTTCATTTTCCAAATACTTTTGGTCGTAATACGATATGGCATCGGGTGGTCAGGCTCGCTGACATGGTTGACCACATGTCATTGTATCCAAATTGTGTAGATCGATGCTCATGATTTTGACCCCTGGATTGTCTGGTCCAGCCTCCATTATTTACAGAACGCAGCCATATAGCTGGAATAATGCATAGTATGGCATAAAACTAAACTCACTCACTCACTCACTCCAAGGACTGTACCTGTGTTGTAGGAGGTGCTGGAGTCGTGGTAGGACATACTGAAGAATTTGTCACTGGAGACGGGACATTAGGATAGCTGGGAGGTGGGTTGGACAGAGATTCATCTCGAATTACCACAGACATTTGTTTAGCCCAGAAGGTTGAATAGCTCTCAACAAATGTTGCTCTAAAAAAGAAACAGGCTAGATTTCAGTCTTGTCATTATGGAATATTTTGGATTATGACTGATTGTCTACATTTATGAACTGATGTGATATTCATTTTTGTGGTTTGATAATGTTAATCTCTTTTGAGCTTTATTCACATGTTTGCCATGCCGTTGAATAGCTCTGTACAGTAAGCATCAAACAAACACCTCTGACAGGTGTCTAGTATAATGCAAGTGTAATAGAAAATAAGACAAATAGTGTTTGTAAGTCGAAATTTAACATGAAAGTCCTGTGACATGACTACTGTCAACAAAGATTTGTCTGAACGTCTGAACGATACTAAGTATCCTGTTTCAAATAACAGAGAATACTGAACACAGGATAGGCGTTCATCAAATTCATTTTCAGACAAAGTGTTAATAGAATATAATATTTATCTGTTCTCCATTTTTATCAGAAAATGGCAATCAAAGTTCAGCATGACCTTCACTATGACCCTTTGACCACCTACATAGGTCACACAGCATGTTATTGGTCAAGGCTAGCCCAGTAGTCTAAGGGACTGTTCATAATTTATGGCTCGCAGAGGTGATGATGATTTTTATGGAGAAGCATGTACAATGTGAATGCCACCCCCACTAAAAGCTGCAAAGTAAGTGACCCATGCACACCCCACCCCCTTTGCATGTCATATACAAAATCAATGACCCCCTTCCTCCATAATTTTTAAGCATAATTTTAAACATATTTTTTTATGCACAAAATTGTTGATCTCCCCACATCCCCAGAACAAATGGGTGATCATTCGTCACCACTCGCCCCTTTCCGTAACCTCCAAGAAGACTCGTCCACCTCTCGATCCTTGGTATGTGCGAAAATACGACAAACCAATCAAAACGCGGGTAAATGACCGCGGTGCTTTGATAAAAATAATCCTGAGTACTTAAATCGTTTATGGCATTATGTCATTGTTTAAAAAATCATGAAAAATATATATCGTCATATTTAAAGTACAAAGAACGTAGCTAACAGGATTTTGCTGCCTATTATGAAGTTTTTAATAAGAATCATGTGATTGACGGTGAGAGATTCAAATACACGCACGTGCGTTTGTTGACAGAACGGCACTCGTGGGTCGAACTGAGTGTATTTCTGACGATCTTGCGGGCTTGTTATGGAGATTGTACATGCACTTCCACCAATTTTAGGAAATGTAATTATAAATCGCTATGAGTATGACAGCAAGATTACACGAATGTTCAGTTTGAGAAATATTTTAAAGTCATTCTTGAGTATGTCCTTTGGGATTTAATGTAGCTGAAATTTTAAAACTTTTATTGGCACATTCAATAAAACAATTCCCATTTGTGATTAGTAAACCCTAATTGGAAATATAAGGTTAACAGCTGGTAATAATTACATTAGAATATGTCTTTAACAAATATGTTTTCTCCTTCTTTTAGTTGTATCAAAGAGGTTTAATTCTTTGAAATAAATAAGTAAACAAACCCCCAAAACAACAACTTAGCAATACAATGTACATGTGCTTCGGTGATAATTAAGAAACACTGGAATCAAACAGGGATAGAGTTCATGTTCATGCGCCAATATGAAATCCTTCCAGAGAGTCACGAGTCGCTATTCGGTTTGTTCCGGAATAACACGAGTTGGTCATGAATGAATGGGTGATATGAACAGTCCCTAAGGTGTCCAAACATTTGCTATGCAGAGTTGCATCCCTTATGTGTGCCAGGAACCTATCATCATGGATTGAATCCATTTCTAGGTTGGACAGCACCATGCCTATGATTGTGGGTTTAACATGCATCACTTTGAGCTAACCTCACACATCAAGCCACGATAGAATTGAAATACTGTCCAAAGCGATGTTAAACTAAGCGTACTCAATCACAACATTTTAAAATTGTGTTCGTACTTTAAGTCATCACATACTTTAACTTCTTTATGTACAGCAATCTGTCACAAAAACAATTACAACTTTCAGGCTATATGACAGTGAGGATGATCTTAAACTTTGTCATTGATTCATCTATTTTCCAGCCCCATGAAGGAGACTTGTCATGATACCCTGAAACACTTACTGAAGCGGTTGGGTAGCCTAGTGGTTAATGTGTTCGCTCGTCACGCCGATGACCCGGGTTTGATTCCACACATGAGCACAATGTTCGAAGCCCATTTCTTGTGTCCCCCACAGTGATATTACTGGAATATTGCTAAAAGTGGCGTAAAACTGAACTCACTCACTGTGACACTCAAGCACTAAATAGTTTCAAGAACAATGCTGCGTAGTTGTCAAATTCTGCCAAAATAGCAAAATTTCTCTGGTGAGGGAATTCATGGCATACTTACACAAACACAAGATGCCCTTGAGCTGTAGATGGTGCAGTCCAACTGAATGTTATTGAACTTTTCAAGTCACCGCTGACATGGGTAATGGATGGATTCTGGGAACAAACATGTCAACATTCATACATATTGATCAGATGATGAACGTTACCATTTTCTGGTTTTCATAGAATTCTATGTGGCATATTAAGCTTAACGACTATCATATGATGATATACAAACATCAGTCCCTGAGGCTAAGATGTAAATGGAAGTGAAATTATGCAAGTTGCAGTCTCTGAGATTATATGGAAGTGAAACTATGCAAGTTGCACTCTCTGAGATTTACACTGCATATGGAAGTGAAATTATGCAATTTGTGGTCTCTGAGATTTAAACTGACATGAAATAATACAGTCTCTGAAATTTGAATAGAAGTGAAATTATACAAGTTTCTGCCTCTCAGATACAAAAGGAAGTGAAATTATACGAGTTGCAGCCTCTGAGATTTTAATGGAAGTGAAATTATACACATTGCAATGTCTCTAGCTTGATCATATTGTGTTTTCTTCATTTTATAAGAAGCCCCCATCACATGATCAGCAATATCATTAAACGCAGATGATGTTCAAGCAGAATATGAACTTTTGTGACAGTTTGGCCAGATTATCATGTCTATTATCTCTGAATAAATTGTAAAGGGTTAACTTACAGAAGGACACCTTGTCTGAGCACGGTTGTCAGATGGAGCAAACGTTCCCACCGATACAGTTGATGTTGAATCAGATGCTTGTCTTGCCTGCACCAGGAACCCTTTGAATGGCCGCCCACATATACCTGCCAGCGTCACTGTAAAGACAAACAATATCATAGAAGTGGGTGAGTTTAGTTTTATGCTGCTTTTAACAATATTCCAGCAATATCATGGCTGGGGACACCAGAATTGGGATTCACACATTGTCCCCATGTGGGGAATCAAACCTGGGTCTTCGGCATTACCAGTGAACACTTTAACCACTGGGCTACCCCATCTCCCCCAATATCTTAGAGGTAGTGAGGTAAAGTTGAACATCTTTGAGCGACCGCAAGGTACTGATCCAATGGGTCTTGTTTAGTACAATTACATCCTGATAACATACCAATGCCAACAAACAAATCCTCAGAGAGTGGGTTCAAATCCTGAATCGAACTCAATTCAACAAGAAGACAAAGCCATCAATACCCCCCAGCAATGGCAAAATACTCTTCATGAATATGTCTACGAGTTATGATTATGTCAAATGTTTTGGTGTGTATATAGAAAAGTAGAAGGAGAGTATTGAAAGATCTTAAAAGTTCTGCTCCAGAAAGGAGCACTACCACCAATTTCAGTCTAAGTCAAGCTTGTTGGCATGGAAATGCAAACATATTTTATTTAGAAATCCGAAACTAACTAAAAGGCACCAGTACACCACTAGACCAATCTATGCGCCAAGTTCGGTGAAGAAATAGTGAACGGTTTTAGAGTTCTGCTCCGGCAAAGAGCACTACCACCAATTTCAGTCTAAGTCAAACTTGTTGCCATGGAAAGGCCAAAAATCTTTTATTCAGAAATCCAAAACTACCAAAAGGCACCAGTACACCACCAGACCAATCTATGTGCCAAGTTTGGTGAAGAAATAGTGAACGGTTTTAGAATTCTGCTCCGGAAAAGAGCACTACAACCAATTTCAGTCTAAGTCAAAACTTGTTGCCATGGAAACGCCAAAAATATTTATTTTTAAACTTATCCTATCTCACGGTATGCACTATCTCTCTCTTCTATGACCATGTGTGGAAACATGCTGTCAGCTACGTTGAGTCAAATCTAACTGGCCTCTGACCCGCCCTGACCTCTGCCCTCATCCCGACATCAACGCCTGTCAATCATACACCAAAGCGCATGCAGCTCGCCCAAATGATCACATGACCTCCTCTACCTGTCACTCACTTTCTTGTCGCCACGTTGTGTGGGCGTGTGTTTGTCTATAAGAGAGTTTGAATGTCTTTCTACAATGGGAAAATCGAATCGTTATGGTTCTAATAAACGCAAACATTGCGATAACTGCAACAGTAATTTCTCGGCGGCAGACGCACATAACCTATGTGTTGACTGTTTAGGCCGGTGTGAATGGTCTAGACGTTGCACTTTGTGTGCAAACCGTGACGATGATGAGTTTTCCGAATATCGCTGGGTAGCTTGTAGACGCAAGTTTGACAGAGATTGTTGGAATCCATCCGAGGGTCTGAGTACTAAACGTCCTAAGTTAGATCGCCGTTTGATATCTACAGTACGACTTCCGAAGTCGAAGTCTCCTAATGAAGATTTCTTAGAGAGGCGTCTGATTCCTACCTCAGTGAAAATCTGCGTCAACTCTTCCGTCCGCATTCTTGTAGCCTCATTACTCTAGAAGATTCTTCACCACCACGAGTTGTTGTGTTATCTACGTCTGTTATTCATCCCGGCCGTCTTTGGTGGTGAATGTTCCTCAGCGCCTTTACGTTTCGGAGGTGGGCACTACTCATGCGGCGCTTATTGTGATTCCTAACATTACATCACAAGTGACCTTTACTTCCAGTTTGGCGCTTACATCAGGAGTTACCTACGTTTAGAGCGCCGCTTGTCACTGTTTCCACGTGTTTGTTCAGAGCGCCGCTTACTTCCAGTTAGGCGCTTTCTACCAGTGCGCCGCTTACTTTTGAAGCGACACTTACATCATGACAGTTATCTACAATTAGAGCGCCGCTTGTCACAGATCCCACGTGTTTGGTCCAGCTTTCTCCCAGTGTTCCTGGTTCGGCGCTTCCTCCCGGCGCTTTCTACCAGTGCGCTGCTTACTTTTGAAGCAACGCTTACATCAGGACAGTTATCAACAATTAGAGCACCGCTTGTCACAGATCCCACTAGTTTGGTCAGAGCGACACTTACTTCCAGTTCGGAGCTTTTCTACCAGTGCGCCGCTTACTTTTGAAGCGACGCTTACATCAGGACAGTTATCTACGATTAGAGCGCTGATTGTCACGGATCCCATATGTGTGGTCAGAGCGCCGCTTACTTCCAGTTCGGCGCTCTTGTTTGGTTCCGGTTCGACGCTTGTGCCTGGTTCGGCGCTTCCTCCCAGTGTTCCTGGTTCGGCACTTCCTCCCAGTGTTCGGCGCTTCCTCCCGGTTCGGCGCTTCCTCCCAGTGTTCCTGGTTTGGCGCTTCTCCGAGTGTTCCTGGTTAGGCGCTTCCTCCCGGTGTTACTGGCTTGACGCTTGACGCTCCCCGTTCGGCATTTCCTCCTGGACTCCCGGTTGTCACGGATCCCAAATGTGTGGTCAGAGCGCCGCTTACTTCCAGTTCGGCGCTCTTGTTTGGTTCTGGTTCGCCGCTTGTGCCTGGTTCGGCGCTTCCTCATAGTTCACTGGCTTCTGTATTGACGCTTCCTCAGGTTTCAGCGCTTACAGCCAGGTGTTGACTTCGGCGCTAGGTCCACTCAGTTCAGCTCCGGAGTTCAATGCACGGGATCCTAAGTCTAGGCTTTCTGTTTAGTTTAGTCCAGAGACGCTGCCAACTGAGTGATACACGGTCGAGATGGGAACATGATGGAACCAAAATTACCTGGCTTCATATCAAAATGGATAATAAATACCCCGACGAAGTTCTACGCTGTATCCGGAGGTTATCGGCAATCCTAACGAGTAGTTAAGGTGTGTCAACAACATCCATGCTACCATCCGATTGGGATGTACCATCCGAAGATAGAGACGATGTCGTTGAACGATGAACCTCCTCTAAAGGTAGAACGGGAGTAGTCGCATGTCTCGATGACTTAATAACAGAGGAGGATACTGGCACCTCATGCCGTACGCTGACGCTACTGCTAACACAAGGCATCAAAGTCAACAGGCTGAAAAGTCGCCCCATCAGACACCGGATTCCAGGATACCGGTAAAATAGGTCTCGACATTGAAACTGTTGAATATAGGACAACACAGCAGTGGTTTGGCATATCAACAGGATGGGGTCAACGGGGTCTCCACAGCTTTCACAGTGGACTCAACAGTTCTTGGATCTGGTGGACTTTCTCAACATCATGGTACGAGCCAACCACTTTCCGGGGGTGAAGAATGTCATTGTAGATGCCCTGTCCCGACCGAGTCGCCCTTCTCCAATGGAATGGAAATTACATCCTCAGGTTTTTCAGACCTTCTGCCTTCCAATGACTTCTCCGACAGTAGACCTCTTCGCCACGAGGTTCAACCATCAGCTGCTTTGGTTTGTGTCACCGATATCGGGCCTTTTGGCTTGGGACCTCGATGCTCTAGCCATCCCGTCGGAAGACCTGAATGCTTACGCGTTTCCGGCAGTGGCCCTTCTTCCTGGCATTTTAGGGAACTGTGCACAACACGGAGGTTGACTCTACTTAGGTCGCGCCCTACTGACCGGCCAGAAGTTGGTTCATAAATCTTCAAGACCTAGTCGAACCAGATCCCATACCGCTTCCCGATCAACCCGATCTACTGGTTCATCCGCACTCCCACCAACTACATTGGTTCCTGTTGATGCTCCATCTGCACATTTGGCGCATCTACATCAATCCTTAACGGCTAAAGGTTATTCGAAGCGTGTTGCTACTGCCTTTACAACAGCCCATCATACTTCTACAAGGTCACTCTACGAGGACAAGTGGGAAAGTTTTAAGCATACTGCAGGAAGAAGGGCATCTCATCCCCCACTACGGCATCCCCGCAGATGGTGGCAGATTATCTTCAGCATCTCCGAACCTCCAGGGAACTCAGAGGTTCTACACTGTCTACCTACCTGGCTGCTCTTAACATGGTTATTGCAACGGCCTCGGGTGTGAAGATTTCCACTGTCCCTGAACTCCAGTCTCTCCTAGGTCTTTCAAATTGGCTGACCAATCCTGGAAGTTCCGGCCTCCAGCTTGGGATATCTCCTTTGTACTTCTCATCTCATGTCAGCTGAATATGAACCTCTGGAGGAGAAGATTTAAGATCTTTTCTCTTGGCCTTGGCTGCAGCTGGCCGTATCTCCGAGTTGCATGCTCTTGATGTTTCTCGAGTACGGTTTGGAAGGTCTAGACATGCGAGAGTTTTCCTTGGTTTGCGGTGGGATTTCCTTGCCAAGAATCAGTTACCAGGTAAACCGGATCACAAATCATGATCCCACCACTGTCTGCCATCTTGGGCCCAGAAGACACTGAAGATCTTCCCTTATGCCCAGTTCGAGCATTGAGGATTTATCTAGCTGCCTCGCAGGATCGTCGAAGACTACGTAAGAGACTGTTCATCCCTATATCTACTGCCTCCATCTCGGAAGTCTCCCATACTACCTTGGCTTTTTGGATGAGAACTACAATCCTGCGTACCTACAACTTTGCTGACGTACCTCCACCAGCAACGGCCAAGCCACATGAGACCCGAGCTCTTGCGTCATCCATGGCGAGAAGGCTATGAGGCAAGTCCTCTACTACATGCAGAGATGGTCGACATTCCACTTACTGACCTCTACTCTTTGAGCAATCATGTCAGTGAAGTGTTGATTCCAATTACCAGTCTGGTTTTCGAAGCGTTCTGCTCCTAAGTCCTTTCTCACCTTTGGTAAGTTAGGAAGATTGGTACTGAACGTTAAAGTAGTTTAGCAACCGGGCTATTCCCTCTTTCACCGCCTTCCAGCGTGTGTCTGTGGGGGGTAGTTTCGAAGCAGGGACTGGCCAGATTAAGGTCCTCGGCTTTAATTCACTGGGGTCACGTGATAAATCGCGGGGCGACGGGGCCTACTTGCCAAACTGCGTCCTTTTGCCTTTCAAAAGTTGCGGCTGAAAACCACATTAATTCGGGAGCGCCCACTCCCCAGAGTTTTTGTGCTGTGTATTTTTGTGCTGTGTAAGCCAAGGGGTTACCTGAAGAAATCCATCTCAAGTTTGGAGTTTGCATATAGGGAGTTGGTGCTTTCTCCTGGCCTCCTTGGGTTATGCTTTTTGTAGTAGTAACGAGGTAGTCTGCGACCCGCCTACCAACCGTGGGATTATGCATACCGTGAGATAGGATAAGTTAAAAAAATTGAAAATATTATAATATATTGTATATTTATAAACTTATCCTATCTCACGCGATAGGACCCACCCGACCTGCCCCACATCACAGATTACTGGAAGCTCCAAGATGAGAATGACAGGTAGAGGTCATGTGATCATTGGGCGAGCTGCACGCTTTGGTGGATGATTGACAGGCGTTGATGTCGGGGTGAGGGCAGAGGTCAGGGCAGGTCAGAGGCCAGTTAGATTTGACTCAGCTTAGCAGACAGCACGTTTCCACACATGGTCGTAGAAGAGAGACATGGTGCATACCGTGAGATAGGATAAGTATATAAATATACAATTTATTATAAAATTTTCAATATTCAGAATAAGAAAACTACCAAAACGCACCAGTACACCACCAGATGTATGTATGTGCCAAGTTTGGTGAAGAAACATTGAACGGTTTTAGAGTTCTGCTCCGGAAATGACAAATGTGCACGGACGCACGGTCGGAGGGAGTCCATTTTAATACCCCCCGCAAAACGCGTTGCGGGGGATAAAAAGTACTAGAAATTGTACTTAACTGAGAAAGTGTAAGCCCAAATTTAACATGATACATTTGACCATTTCATTACCTTCAGCCATGGAAGCCGAGCAAACTTTTACTTATCAGAAGCTGGCTGAGCTGGCTGAGTATGGTTTTACGCCGTTTTTAGCAATATTCCAGCAATATCACGGTGGGGGACACCAGAAATGGGCTTCACAAGTTGTACCCATGTGGGGAATCGAACCCGGGCCTTCGGCATGACGAGCGAACGCTTTAACCACTAGGCTACCCCACTGCCCCCTTATCAGAAGGGTACACAAGGTACATGGTACACTATTAGTGGAGCCCCAGTGGCAGAGTGGGTTAGATTGCTATTCTTGTGTGCTGGCAATTGGGGGTGTTCAAATCCTGGATGCAACTCACCTTGAAAGGACTAGAATTTGTACTTTTCTGATAATGCATATTCCCAAATGTAACATATGGCATCATGTTTTGCGATTCACTCACCATCAATCCTTTTGCCAGGGGTGTAGGAATTAGAATTTGGTGTTATTGTGAAGGGGGAGGGAAAGCTTTGGGTAGTAGCTCCGCCATGTGAAGGCACCATGCTGGAACATGCTCCAACATTGGCCCCAGATGAATTGCCTCTGACTGATGGCAGCAGCACCGCTGCTACACACACCAGGAACAATCCTCTCATGGTTGTCATGGAACTGTAATGACCTGAAAAAAGGTAAAAACTTGAATTTTATGAAGTTCTAAGGCCAAAAAAATATATGCCCGTTTCCTATTACATGCTTTATAAAAATAGGGTAGGTGGGTTGTTTGTTTTATATAGTTTTTAGTAGCACCAGGTGGGCACCTCAGAATGTCTTCAAGGACACCACATCATGTTGTTACGATGCCTTGTGATGAAACAGTCAAAGATTTCCATATCAAGTCATTATTCATGTTGTTTATTTGCAGGTTTTGTCAGTGAGACGGCATTATGCCAATTCAGTACAATCCATTTTAGTCCTACATATACTGTAAAACATGAAAATATCATTCTCGATTTAGATGAAAATGATGAGTTGAAATGCACTCTAGTCATAATTTTGACTTGGTGAAAACAATAGTCATCAGAAGATGACAAATCCCCCTGGCCCCCATAAATTTGAAAGAACAAATCAACTGAAAGTTACTTAACTTGATATTTTTGGACTAAGTCCAAATCTTTTCCATGGAAATCAAGAAAAATAAAAATGCCCAAAATCTGCAAACAGCAAAAGGCACCACTTCAACATCTGTCTCATATATCTGCTAAGTTCCGTTGAAAGATATTGAACGTTTTTCGAGTTGTGCTCCGGAAACGAAGCCCACCCCTCCCTTTTGAGACTAAGTCTGAATCGTTTCCATAGAAACCGGGAAAATTGAAAATGCCCAAAATCTGCAAATAGCAAAAGGCACCACTTCAACATCTGTCTCATATATCTGCCAAGTTCCGTTGAAAGATATTGAACGGTTTTCGAGTTGTGCTCCAGAAACGAAGCCCACCCCTCCCTTTTTTAGACTAAGTCTGAATCGTTTCCATGGAAACCGGGAAAAATGAAAATGCCCAAAATCTGCAAATAGCAAAAGGCACCACTTTAGGTTATGTTTGATATATCTGCCAAGTTCCGTTGAAAGATATTGAACGGTGTTCGAGTTGTGCTCCAGAAACGAAGCCCACCCCTCCCTTTTGAGACTAAGTCTGAATCGTTTCCATGGAAACCGGGAAAAATGAAAATGCCCCAAATCTGCAAATAGCAAAAGGCACCACTTTAGGTTATGTTTGATATATGTACCAAGTCTTGAATAAAGATACTGAACGTTTTTTGAGTTGTGCTCCGGAAACGAAGCTCACCCCTCCCTCCCAACACTATCCTCCATAGGGAGTCTGGGCTACAATAGGTCCCCAGTAACATTCTCTAGTGTGAGTGGTTTTATGCATTCTCTTCCCACAGAGTTACTTGTCATATCAGTCATATAAGTAAACTTAGGCTCAGTATTATTCGTTGTACTGCTAGTGCTATACTGAGTCTAACAAAACCTAGTAGAAGGTCGCGTCAGCTAACCTTTTGGACTGACCAATCAGAACACAGTTTACTAAATCACAGAAAGTTAACATTCCCACATACCTTGAAACTCGAACGATTCCGAATGCTATTTTCCGCACGATCGCTTCCGAGTGATAAATGCAATGAGTAAACAGTTGCTGAAAATAGCATTTTTGTCAATATTCAAGGATGTCATGTTGTGAAAATACAAGCAAATAGTAACCATGTCATTAGAAACCCATAAGCGTATATACTGCCTGTCAAATATCTGTGTTTTATGCAGATTTCCGTTTATTGATAGATCGGTGTCAGTGACCAGGGAAGAGAAAATTAAAAAAAACGTTTTGTAAGTCCCGCCAAACTCCAACAAGTAGTTGTTGTCTGATTGGTTAGATCCGTTCGGCCATCTCGCGTTTGATTGGAAGGTCATAGGTCGCTCAAAGGTAACCTGACGCGACCTTCTACTAGGTTTTGTTAGACTCAGTATAGCAGTGTAACGAATAATAGTGAGCCTATGTTTATTTAGACTGTTTGTCATATCTTCCTCTGTGGTAAGAGAATGGGTTTTACGCTGCTTTTAGCAATATTCCAGGAAGGGGCACTGGAAATGGGGGGGAATCAAACCTAGACCTTTGGTGTGAAAAGCGAATGCCTTAACTACTCGACTACTCCACCGCCCCATTGCTATTTTTAAGAGATGACCAGATGTCTCAGGTGGTCAGGCTTGGTGGCTTTGCTGCAAGCATGCCATTGTTTCACGCTTAAGACTGTTTTCATTTAACTGGATGACTGCTGAGAAGGCATCAAACAAATAAATGAAATAAACCTGAAATATAGCTAGAGTGAGTGAGTATGGTCTTATGTTGCTTTTAGCAATATTCCAGCAATATCACGGCAACAGAAATGGCCTTCACACATTGTGCCCTTGTGGGGAATCGATCCCGGGTCTTCAGCGTGACGAACAAAGTTATAATGTGAGAGTTTGGTATAGGTCACTGAATGCTTCACAAGGGTATACGGCATGATGAGCGAACGCTTCACCCACTAGGCTACCCCATCGCCCCTTAAATGGGATCAAAGACAAAAATGGGTTCTGGATGATCACAACAGCTGCTGAGTATTCACAGCACAGACCAGACCAGCTAATGACCTCAGTAACTCCCTGTTATGGGAGTTATGTACTCGCTTCAGTTCATCTCATTTGGTTATCCGAATTTTCCTTTGAGTAACCAAATATATTGTACTCATCTCACTCAAACTCAATTAGGTATTTTGCCATTTTCCATTAATTTAAACAAGAGTCATCAGAAGATGACATATCCCCCTGGCCCCCACATCTTTGAAAGAACAAATCATCTGACAGTTACTTCAAGTCCAGCTTGATTTTAGACTAAGTCCGAATCATTTCCATGGAAACCAAAAAAATAATAAATCACAAATATCTGCAAATAGCAAAAGGCACCACTTCAAGATCTGCCTCACATATCTGCCAAGTTTTGCTGAAAGATATTGAGAAGTTTTCGAGTTGTGCTCCGGAAACGAAGCCCACCCCTCACTTTTGGGACTAAGTCCAAATCGTTTCCATGGAAACCGGGAAAAATAAAAATGCCAAAAATCTGCGAATAGCAAAAGGCACCACTTTAGGATCTGTTTGATATATCTACCAAGTTTTGTTGAAAAATATTGAACGGTTCTTGAGTTATGCTCCGGAAACGAAAGCAATCCTTACTTTTTGAGACTAAGTCCAAAATGTTTGCATGGAAACCGGGAAAAATAAAAATGACAAAAATCTGCAAATACCAAAAGGCACCACTTAAGGTTCTGTTTCATACATCTACCAAGTTTTGTTGAAAAATATTGACCGGTTCTTGAGTTATGCTCCGGAAACGAAGCCCACCCCTCACTTTTGGGACTAAGTCCAAATCGTTTCCATGGAAACCGGGAAAAATAAAATGCCAAAAATCTGTGAATAGCAAAAGGCACCACTTTAGGATCTGTTTGATTTATCTACCAAGTTTTGTTGAAAAATATTGAACGGTTCTTGAGTTATGCTCCGGAAACGAAGCCCACCCTTCTTTAAGACTAAGTCCAAAACGTTTCCATGGAAACCGAGAAAAATAAAAATAAAAATAATCTGTAAATAGTAAAAGGCACCACCTTAGGTTATGTTTGACATATCTACCAATTTTGGTTGAAAAATATCGAACGGTCTTTGAGTTATGCTCCGGAAACAAAATGATTACGGACGGACGGACGGACGGACAGACGGACTAGGCGACGACTATATCCCACCGCATTACATGCCGGTGGGATAAAAATATAATAAAGTTTAAATGTTGTGTTTGTTATTTATATTTGATATGTAATATGAGAAACGATAAGAAAGACTGCAAGTTGTCAAGTTCATGTCCTGAAATAGAACCTCTCAGTATACCTCAGTTATTTTATTTATCCACCGGTACACAAGCTAATATTTGACATTTTCGTGTGTAACACACGTAAGATCACATTTATTGAGTATTTACCAAAATTCAAGCATACTTGTACCCAATAGACTTAATAGGAGTTGAGTTTTCACATAAATATTTGCATAATTTACACAGATATGCAGCTTATCTTTACCTCTGTTAACTATTATCGATATGAAAAAGTGTCATCGATAATATTGTACATAAACTTTTCTGAGAGAATAATGTTTTAATTTACTAAATCAACACACAAAGTTTTATTCATGGGCACCTTCTGAACTATGATCAGGACCCTGTTTTGTTAGAAATCTATTCATATACACTGAACTATACACTAGAAGTTTGAAATGTATTCACTTCTTTAAGAATTTCTGTAGCAATTTTACTCACAGTTACTTCACTGATATTTACCGATAAATTGATCGATATTTAATTTACGATTATCAATCTCAATGATCTATATCGGTAGCCAGCCCTAACCACAACACCTACTGTGTGAAGACAGTGTCCAGATAATTTTTCAACATCAGGAGTACATACTCCTTAATTTTTCAATATAAGAGTACTGGAAAACCTTAAGTGTACATTTAGAGTACTGAATGGAAATTAATGGAGTATCAGTAATCTTATCATTCGTTTCATATATGCACCACAACATTGTTACTCTTGTGTAAACAGGTCAATAAACAATAAAACAATACTTTTTCCGATAAATACGAGTGAGAATGATTTTAAGACCGTACACCATTGCTGTGGTGCGTGTCTGCTACGTTTTTCAAAATATTTCCTATCGTATCGTGCATATTTTTTTATCCGTACATACGCCGATACGGCCCTTATCTGGAGCCCTGGTGTCCACTTAACTTTACAGGCTGCTTTCAAAGCCATGGATTGCAACAGTTGTACTGAATAATCTTTCCATATCGAAAACAGGCAGAGACCAATTTTATTTCTTGTTTTACGGATCCGCTGGTTGTATTTTTTCAAGAATAAGACAAATAATAATTAATTTTCACCTCTCAAAAAATACAATCCCTATGTTTTTATTGCCCAAAAATGTAAACTTACCCAAATAATTTTTTTGATTGTTTTTTGCCAAATATAAACTTCATTAATAGCCAAAAATAAAATACTTTTAGCATTTAGAAGGAATATTCTTTGACTGGTGATTTTTATT